CCAGCCATCCTTCCTGGCTCTGTGACCCTTCCCAGCTCTAGCTACGTTCACCATGACAGCCTCTGTTCTATCTAATGCCTGAGAACACACTGTGTTTGTGGCCTTGTTTTCCACAGGACTGCATCTCTGTGGAAGAGGGGGTGGGTTTCCTGTCTGCTGCAATGGTACCTGGTCCCCAGCAGATCTCGGCAAACATGTGTGAGACAATGGTGCCGCAGCGGCTGGCAAGCTAACGGCAGCTGGCACTGTGAGACGGCATCACAGCTGGAGACAGCGCGGAGGCTGCGGGCTGGCCTAGGGAAGGAGACTCGGAGTGTGGCCAGCAGGGAGCCACTCCTTCCTTAGCCTCTTGCTTCTCTGTCCGGCATCTGCGCCCATGCCCAACCTGTGAGTGACTTCTAAGAGATACCAGAGACGTCACCAACCACGGGCACGGTCAGCTGAGCAGTCCGTGCCCCTCGGTCTGCAGGAGGCTGCCAGCTTCCACCCAAAAGTCTGAGGCGTGTCGGGAGAGCCGCTGTTTGGGAGCCCGCAGCCTGTGCTGCCCAGGGAGGGGTGGTGAGGGGAGGGCTGGAATGGTCGAGGGCGCACTTCACCTGGGCACTGCCAGGTCTTGAAGGCGGCTGTGGGGCTGAATCGGGACAGCTGAACGCAGCACTGCAGTGGGGCGGGCATCTCTGAACAAACCAGCCATCCGGGAGACGCTCTCTGCCTTGGCATGGCAGGTGGATTTTGCCCTCTTCTGTTCACTGTACTGTGCCCTGAGCTGAGCCCTCCCATGTGCCCACACTGTTCTCGCAGCTGCCACTGGCAGGGTGTTGCCGTTATTTTGGACCGTGATCAGGGGCGGGGAGCAGGCCAGGTTGGTAAACTGCTGGCCGGACAAGCATGTGGCCCAGCACTCACGTGAAAGGCCAGGGAAGGTGGCGTGCCCTGTAATCCCAGCCCTGGTGGAAACTCAAGACCCCTGGAGTTTGCTGGCCAGCGGCCTCACTTCAGTGACAGATCTGCTCAAAAAGCAAAGCGAAGCTGGACAGAGGTCTCCGTCAGTGAACTGTGCAGATGCAAGCGGAGGACCTTAATTCAGACCCCCAGACCCCCAGAAAAAATGGGCGGGTCAGACTATAGGGCAGGGAGGGGACAGAGACAGAGGATCCGGGGAGCTCGAGGGCTCCTTCCTCTAGATGATCAGATGATCAATCTAGATGATCCATGCCCTGTCAGGAGACTGAGTATGTCATGCGTGTGCTCAGCGTGTCCTGTGTCTTTTCTGTCTCTGTTCTCCCGGGAGCTCTGTCAGGCAGAGCCTTCCATTCCTTGTGAACGTGGTTGACGACCGTCTGGCGTCTTTTCGTGGGATCTCGGCCATGGTACACCCACATCCTCAGAGTCTCTCACGTGTTCCTGGCCCAGGCTCTCATTTCATGGGCTACTCCACTCGGCTGTGCCACGCCCAGTGTGGAGGAAGCAGGCCCTGGTGTGCTGGTTCCCAGGGCTCTTTGTTTATTTACTGGAGCCCCCAACCCCCAGCAGGAGCGCTGAATCAGCACTGGGCGCAGGCAGGAAGGGTGAGGCCTTCCTGTCCAGCCTCCTCCTGAGGCCTTTCCCATCCAGCTCCTTCTGAGGCCAGGCATGGGTCAAATGACTACAAAGGAGTACAGACAGTGATTTCTTACAGCAGTCAACGCACAACCCCTACTCCCCCCCCCCCACCGCCAAACCAACCAACAGGAGCAAGCACAGGTCTGTACCAGCTTAAAGACCAGCAGCGAGGGCTCTCAATGACGCCCAGTGCAGCTTTGCCTGAGCCGTGCTCTGAGCTCTCCTACTGGTTGATCTCAGGACTCATGGTCCTAAGATACTTACACTCACTCACACACACAGTCACACGTACTCACACACACGCAATTTATACCTTTGAATAGCAGGTCTGTTCAAGTATATTTACCTACTCTACAAACTCCTGGTGCCTGCTATTTTCCATAGCTCTGGTGGGTAGTTTTATGTCAGTCTGACACAACCTGGAGTCACTTTGAAGGGGGAACCTCAACTGAGAAAATGCAGTCAGCAGGCTGACCTGCGGACAGGCATTTTCCTCATTGGTGTTTGATGTGGGTGTGCACAGGTCTCAGTGTGTGGTGCCACACATGGGCTGGTGGTCCTGGAGGAGAGAGCGGGATGAGTAAGCCACGAGGGCCAAGCCAGCAAGAAGCACCTGTCAGGGCCTCTGCAACAGCCTCCAGGTTCCTGCGCCAGGTTCCTGCCTTGAGTTCCTGCGCCAGGTTCCTGCCTTGCCTTCTGTGGATGGTAACTGAAATTAACCCTTTCCTCCTCAAGCTGCTTTTGGTCATGGTGTTTTGTCACAGAGGAACCACATTACTCCACATGTAAACCATGCTTCAAGATGGTGGTCTCCTGGGGTGTCTGTCCGTCTGCCCTGGGCTAGATGCCCAGAGGTGAGCTGTGTTACTACCGGCAGCGTGAACTTCTCATACTCAAGCTGACCGGGGAGGTCAGAGGTCAGGAGTCAGGATCATGTCTGCAAACTTGGGGGCTCAGAATGGCGGCTCCCCTCACCAACCAGGTTGATGAGCTTTGAGTCACACTTAGGGAGTCACTGTCACTCTAGGCAGTGGCTTTGCCACGGCACCAGGCTCCCCTGTGGGCTCCCGGGACAGAGCCTTCAGTTTCTCTCTGTTGGCATGTGCACGTGTGCGTGAGTCATCGGGACTCTAGAGGAGGGGATTACTCCAGGGATCTTCTCCAAAGGTTCTGAAGGAAGCTAGACTCCACCATGCTGACACCTTGTCCCTGCTGGCGCTCACAAGCACAGGATCTGGCGGCGCAGAACTTCCCATGGGAGCGACCTCAGGCTGCCCTCCAAAGCTGGGGCTGCCTCTCAGAATCCGAAGGCCAGCCAGAAGTGCCCGCCGTTCCTACTACCTCCTTCATGCTGGAAACCCCCAAGATGCTGGGAAACCCCAGGGCAGCGCCTGGTTTTCTTCCCAGGCCCACCAGCATCTGCCTCTGGGTGAGGCAGCTGCAGGAAGCAGATTGTGACAAGGTGTGGCTGGGCACCAGGAAGTCTGCTGTGTCCCTGCCCTGGGGAGCAGGGTCTGCTGGAGCTGTTTAACCTTGTCATTCAACGGCCATGGGAGAGGAACCAGAAAGTGCTACTCCTCGTGGCTAAGAGCAGCGGGCCCAGGGAGTGGCCTCAGAGCTCACCCTGGGGCTGCTGTGGAGAAGCTGCAGTGAGTCTGTGCCCACAAAGCTCTGCTCTCATCTAAGGCCTAGGCCCTAGATGAGGGGTGGGTAGCCAGGAACCACAGCATGGGTAAAATGTAGCCCTTGTCCCTCCTAAGCAAACAAGTCACCATTGGAGACACAGAGGCAAGAAGCAGCCCCAGAGTCAGGCTAATGCAGGGGTCTAAGCTGGCCCCCAGCAGCCCCACATCACGGTCCTCGGCCCTGACTCCGCACCCTCCCTCCCGTCAGCTGTGCCCTGTGTGCCTTGGAGACGCCTGCTTCTGATCAGCTAAGAACTTCCATTCGCCCCCAGCAACAGGCCTGCCGCACTTCAAACCTAAAACTTTAGGAATCCCAACTGTTGCCAGTAACTTCTGAAGCAAGGTAGAGGCTGTTTACTGGGGATCCTAGGGACCTCAAAAATGAGACCCAAGACTGAGACTGATGTCTCGAAGGCCACTGTGAGGCTAGGGCATGGGGCCAGGAGCACAACTGAGTTGAGGGACACAGGCTCCGGCTCAAGTGAGCCCGTTCCTCTCATCCCCGTTTCTGACTGGAACCTTCCCAACTGGCACTGCCCTCTCTCCTTCTTCCCAGATCTGGAGCACAGCTGCCCCTCGTCTCCCACACGGCTGACTCTGGGAGGCCCCTGAGCAGAATCCCCGAGGGATGTGGTGACTGCTTCTGGCAGCTCTTGGCCTACCCGAAGCTCTTTCACTGAGAAAACCCGAGTTCTGGACAGAGCACCAGATGGCCGGGATCTAGGCTGCAGGCCCATGGACACCATGGTGGTGACAGAGGACCAAGGCCTCGGCAGGAAAGTGCAGGGAGCACCTCTCTTGCTCCTAGCTCCTGCTCTAGAGCCCTGTGCCTGTGTCTTCCTCCCAGTTCCCCTTGTTGAGGACAGACGGCTAATTCCTGGCAAGTAAAAGCCCCAGGAAATGGTCTTCACATCGTTTTACCCTTCCTTACATAAAGGCATGTGCATTGTACAGAACAGTCATTTCATCCGTCAGATGCTGCCAAGCAGATGCAACCAGTGAACAGCCAAAGGCAAAATGATGTCGCTGAGAAGTGTCTTGGGAGACTGCACTAGTCAGGTCAGGCTAAGTTCTGCCGAGTAACAAACCCTGGCAAACCTCAGTGGCCTCTAACGGCCATGTTCTATATTGGCTCCATTTCTGGCTGTGCTCCTAGTCCCAGCCTGTGACATTTTTACCTGCTGCAGCACGGAGCTCCTTGTGGAACAGGTATGGAAAGCACAGGTCCCTGCTGAATGGACAAAGGACTGTAGAGGTCACTCCTGTGCGGAGAGGAGGCCACACGCCACAGGCCAGCCCGAGACACTGGCACAGCCCACCAGTGCTGGCCCAGGCAGCCGCCCCACCTTCACCCATCATCAGAGCCCGATGCAGCTTCGTCTGCTCAGCTCCGCCGTCCTGGCACAGGGGTCCTGAACCCTGGTGCTCTTCATTCCTAGCTCTGCTCAAGCAGAGTGCAGTGATGCTGGTGGCTATGGATTCTCCGAGGCTCAGGCAGAGCCCTGATGGGATTTCCAACAGGCCCTTGGGTCTGCAGTGCTCAGGTCAGCAGCAGAGTTGGTGACTGCTTCCGGCAGCTCTTGGCCTACCCGAAGCTCTTTCACTGAGAAAACCCGAGTTCCGGACAGAGCACCAGATGGCCGGGACCTAGGCCGCAGGCCCATGGACACCACGGTGGCACAGGAAATAAGAGTCCAGGCATGAGCATGTGTCCAACATCGTCTTATATTTGGAAAAGCAGATTAAAAAACACTTGAAAATACAAGATAAGGTAATGGTTACTTACGTAAGCTTTAACCTTATATTGCTTGGGCATTTTTACATATAAATTATTGCTTCCTACTTTGATAAATACACAGCAGTTACGTACACAGAGGCAGAAAGCACGAACAACGCGAGAGCAAACCCTGTCGATGGCAGGCTGGTAATTCGACAAGTGCTTCATGTTTACCAGCTCTCCCAGCGCTGGCAAGCTACACGGTGTGGTCCCTGAGAGGTTAGGAGATGGCCGGACTGCGGCCTTCTGTCTTCTGTTACCGCAGCTGACACGCCACAGCAGTCCGAAGCAACGAGACAGCCAGAGGCAAGAGGCCTTGCCCAGGCATTTAATAACAGTGTAATACAAATACAATAAATAGGCTGTGCAAATAAATATCACTCTGCTAAAAAGGCTTAGTTTATACAGCTTTGCTTTATACATTAGTACATTTCATCTGACTTTTTGGCAATTTTCAAAATGTGTTTTCTGTAGAGCAAAACCGGGCCCCTCGGTAACGACCGGGCTGAAATTTCAAGGACGTGTCTTTGAGGCTGAGGAGCAGTCCTGGGCGGCACAGCTGCAGCAGCCTCTGCCTCCCGCACACGGATGATCTGCCCGATTCTGGAAGGCCGGGCCGGGCTGCGCCACTTGGTTCCCGGCTTGCGGTGATGTGCTGTCTATGGCAAGAGCACAGGCCTGGGGACTTAGGCAGCACCAGCTCCAGGGCCAGATGTCTACACAAGCAGCTGCATGTCCACGCCCCATCTTCACGCAGGCGAGTGTGCATCTGTGAAATACCTGTCTGCTAGGAGGTGTGAGTTGTCATTGTGTGCCACGCTCCTTGCTTGTAGATGTCGGAGCAGGAAAAGGAATTTACTCTCAATGCAGTCAAGGGTACTAGAAAAGAGTGAATGTGGTGAATTCTGTGCTACCATAACCATTTGGCAATTATACAGACTGTGAGTTTCACACCTGTAGGCTATAGAACATCTGCAAATGTGTGTGCAAATCCTTTGAAATATTTGGAAAGTTGTGAGTTTCCCTAGATGGACCCACATTCTGACACCCATAGGAAGATGCAAGCGTGGCAGACATGGAACCCAGAGGCCCACGGGACCTCTTGAGGGCTGCACTCTTACCAGAAAGAGGCCCAGCCATCACTCTCTGAGGAAGAAGCCAATTATACAGGGTTTAGGGAGGAAACGGAGACTCGTGAAATCACGACAACCCAAAGGTGAATTGGAAGAGAACGTAGACATCTTTAGTCTACCTTCAGGGAGAGCAATGCTCATTCTGCGGGCCTGGGGGGTTCTGGAGAAGGAGCCGGGTCTTCCCATGCCATGGACCCAGCCACTACTGCTTCCTTGGAAGGGCTTCCTGTGGAGCAACCAGGGCCTGACAAATCTGGGGTTTCCCCTAATTTTAGATTCAAGACTCTGCAAAGCTTCTGAAGTTCCTAAGTCTGCTGCCTGAGAAATCCCTAGGAACAGGTGTTAAAGTTGAGAAAGATTTGGAGATTTTAGATGTTCCAGAGATAGGGTGGGAAAACAGATGCCATCTGCCTCGTGCGCTTTGCTCCCGGGCTGTTCCCACTCGGGTGCAGGACTAAGTGTGCAGGGCGTGGCGCAGGGCGTGGCGCAGGGCGTGGTGCAGGTGTGGCTTGCAGAGCCCAGCTGAGCTGGAGCCTAGACAGAGGCTCTACTGAAACAGCTCCACCTACACCGGGTTCTAAAGGTAAAGTTCAGCCTGGAGAACGGAGAGCTGACACTGGTACAGTCAGAATGCGGACAGGGTCGAAGTGGCCTGGCAGGACGGCACTAGCCCAGCTGCTGGCCTGGAGGGAAGACACGGGGCGGTGCCGTGTGTTGTCTCAGACCTCGCAGCTGTCTGCACACCAGGAAGGCCCGTTTTCCCTTGCTTTGCCGCGCTAGTCGCATCTACTGGCCCTCAGCCCCGTGAAACGGCTTCTGACGGCACCAGCTCTAGGTGGGTGAGTCTCCAGAACTGGGACTCTCCACGCTGGTCAGGGGTGGGCTGGTCAGGGGCGGTCTCTCTGAAAGCGCTACCAAAGCTTCCCCACACGGTTCCTTCCAGCCGGGTCTCAGGGGCACACCGCAGGCCTCAGTACTGACGTGGACTGAGCAGGGACTGGCACTCACCGGGCAGGCCCCGGGTGAGGGGCACACCATACTCACGCCTGGAAATGCACAGCCCCTCGGCTGGGGGCGTGCACACAGCGAAGCGGCTAGCATCCAGCTGGCGGGCAGGCTCGTTTCAGCCACAGGCGTTTGCTTCCTCGGGATTTCGAGAGCCCAGTCCTTGACAACTCCAAGAGTGAGACGGTACAGGGCAAGCTGCAGGAAGCCGAGGCTTAGCTTGGGACGTGGACTGCAGGGCTCTGGCTCCTCAAGCCAGACTTCAGGCGTTTCTGGGTTCTGCTCAGTGACCGAGTCTAGCAGGCCCAACTGTTGGCTCCTTACGCTCGGGGTCGCTCACCTCTCCCCAGGCGGCCTCCTGTCTGTGGGCCGGCGCCTGGTGCTGCCTGACTGAACACCGAGGCTCCAGCACACACCGGGAGGCAGACACTGGCCATTCTGTCAGTGTAGGAGCACCCACGGTCCCGGCCCCACCTTTTCTCAACTGTCCTGAAAACTGCACGCAACAGCAACAATAACAGGAATCTATGCAAAGGAGTCCTGGGCCGAATGTGGCCAGGTCCCCGCTGAACGAGGAGCCCAGCTGCCCTGCTTCCGGAGTGTCGGTGGTGAGGAACGCAGTTTCCTGTGCACGTACGTCCTAAACGAGTGCGGATGGCTGTGCCAGGCACTCACATGCACAGCAGGACGCGCCTGCCAGGGCTGTGCTCGGTTTATAGCTCCTCTTCCTGGGATGCTGGGATGCCCTCACGGCCCTCAGTCACGCTCGGTCTCTTGATGGCAGCAGGGGGAGCGGCAGAGACGGTCCTTCCTGCTGGGCACACAATCTTAACGGACAGAAACGGCTGCTGCGTATCAAGGTGTTTTCTCCTTAGCGCTGGCGTGACACCAGCTGAGCCTTGCACTGGGTGGAAACCGCCGTCCTCAGCAAGGCCCTGCGGCCAGGATGCTCCGCTCCCGTCTTCTCTCTCCACCTCCTGGGGCTCACATCACTTCCTGGGCTTGCTTGGCCGCCTCCCTGCAGCCTCTCGGGAACGCTGATAAAACTCAGCGACCTCTCCTCTCACAGGAAGGGCATGCAGACTGAGGTGTCCCTCTCTCAGAGGGCGGTGGTCTCGGACGAGGGGTCGGGCTCAGGCCCGGGGCTCCAGCCGCTGCGAGAGCGCGAACAGGGCCTGCTGGTTGTCGATGACATACAGGTGGTTGACGTAGGACTTCGGCTCCTGCTGCTCCTTCGGGCACACGTCACTTCCTGTGAGAGGGAAACCGAAGAGTCAGCGCCACAGGACAGGGCTGCTGCTTTCAGGTACAGCCAGGAGGCCTTGGAGTTTACCTTTCCCCACACGAGCAACTGCAGCTCAGGTCAGCTCAGTCTCACTTTCTCTCTTTGGATTCATAGAATCAGCACAGGGCAGAGCAGCGGGCGGGGCAGGGAACCAGGACACGCAGTGTGGCAGCAGGCAGCGTGGCAGCAGGCAGCGTGACCTGGCCTCTCTGAGCCTCCGTTCTGGGCTGTACACTGACGGGGTGAAGGTGCTGACCCCCTGGGCCATGCCGGACTCCAGGTGAAAGCACCTGCTGTGCACAGGCAGGTTCCTCACCTCCTGCCAAGTGCCGAGTCCATTTAAAGGAGGAGTGGATATGCCTGAGATTCAAAAAAAAAAAAAAAAAGCCTGCATATGTAGTCTCTGAGGGGACTCTACAAAAGGGCTAAGGAAAAAAAAAAAAAACATTCTCAGCTGATAGGCGAGAACTGGGTTGAAGAAAAGAAGAACCTGGAAGGATCCTTCAGCACCCTAGTGAACTACATTTCTATTTCAGGAAGGTCCCCAAGCAAAAAGCCGAGAGGCAGAGCCATGGTGCTAAAGCTTCGAGTAAAGGAGAGACCGGGCAGGTGAAAGTGGAAAGCGTGGGTCGGTGCTGTCTGTCTGTCCGCACTGTCTGTCTGTCCGAAGTCAGCCAGCACAGCGGCAACGCTGTGCCACACCATTGACTCCCCACTCCAAACAACGAGGGAACACCAGACAAATCTGGAGTGTGAACAAAGCTGACACATGCTGACACACACACACACACACACACACGTCATGGTCTGTTTAAACGTGGGGTCACTAAGCATTCCTCAATGGCCCCGTCAGAGTCTCTGTGCCTTCTGCCCACTCCCGATTACTCACCGAACTGGTTCGCCCTGCAGTGCCTCAGGGTCCGGACAGTGTCCGCAATCATGTGCTGGAAGACAGAAGAGGGAACACGGCAATGAAGGCAGCAGAGCCTCGGCAGGGTGCTCCTCTAACCCTCTGGGACAAAGCTGAGCTCCACCTGGAGCTGGAGAGGACTGTAATTGATTGGGTGAGGCTTGAATTATCCACGTGTGTTGAGTGTGAATCTGCAGAAACAGTGAGGGTATACAAACCTCGGGGAGCATGCTGGCTTTGTGGCCCCAGTTTCCTAGTCACATGTGTGTCCCCATGTGTGAGATGTGGCCTTTCTGAGACCTCCCTTCTGAGAACAGCACACACCGGCTATGTGACCATCACTGCCGGGACTTTTTGCCTTCCAACCAGCCACCACTGGAGGATTTGCACACTCAGAACACAGGCTCACACTGCCCAGTTTCTATAGGGCTGGGGAGCAGACCCAGGGACTCTCAGATGCTCAGCTGACCACCCCACTACCCGAGCCACATCTGCAGGCTCATGGGCACGTCCTGAGTGGAGGCAAAAAGTTCTGTGGATTCAAGGCCTCACACACTGGCAGGAAGTTATGCACCCATGAAAGAGGAGTGTCAGCATTTTCACAGGGGCCATTTTATCTCTAGCCGCTTTACCGTCTTCTCAGTCTTCTAACTTAGTTTCTTTCCTTTGGTTCTCCACTGATCTCCCGACTAAAGTTATTTGAAATGTGCAGCTTCTGGGGAGAGGGCATGCCTTGTGTGTGTTAGGTAGTGTTCCACTACGGCGCCACCGCAGCCCCAGACCCTTTTCATTTTTCAGATCTCCGGAGAGTGTCTCAGCTGCTTGCCCAGGTTGGCCTAGAACTTCCCATCATCCTCCACCCAGGCCTGGGTGCGGCAGGTCCGTCATCTCTCCCCGTGTGGCAGTGCTTCGCTCAGGCCACTCCTTTCACCTTTCCTTAAGGGACCGGCCTCTGCTGTGAGCAGTGTCTCCTGCACAGCCCCGGCACACGCCCTAAACATGGCTGTCACAGCGGGTCCTAGCATCTGGAGAGTGCAGGAAGTCGTGGCTTTGATTCATATCCAGCCCCAAATACCCGCTTTTCAGGGATTAGCATCCTTCATCCCTGGTCCCCAAGCCCTGCCTCCCTAACCTGCCTGCACAGGCCAGACCCCAAACCATCCACTGATGGGAAACGGCCGGAAAGTTGTTTCTGGAGGAGAAATGCCATGGCCACAGTCTTCACACTTAGCACCAGCGGGATGACAAACTCTGCTTGGATTGGCACTGGATTAAATTACCCGCCAGCCAGCCATATTTCGGCTAATTGATGCTGCTCCCGAGCAGAGACTCAGGGCCGTGATTCCCAAGCAGCCCAGGCGGTGTCGGCAAAGGAAAGGGGACCTGCCTCACGTCTGTGCGAATGCATTGTTACATTTCCTTCCCCGAGCCCCTCCCCAGTTCCCAGGACAGATTTCCCGCTGCTGCAGACTGGGGCGTCACCGATTCCTATCCTGTGCCACCCCTGAAAGGCCAGGGCTGGCTGAGGTGCTGTGTGCAGCACTGACTTCTGAGTCCTGTCCTCATCTTTGCTGACGGGAGGGAGGCACACAGCAAACATCACACTCATAACGTGGGGCGAAGCGAGAAGGCCACAAGTCTTTGTTCCTCCAACAGGGCGAGTCTGAGTGGGAGCGCTTCTGGTTGCTGGGGCAGCGCCCCAGGAAGGATGAGAGTCTTACTGCGCCTGCGTCAGGGATCTGCTCTGACTGAACAGGTGGTCTGTGCCAGCCAGATGAAGATAACACCCGACTATCTGCTGACTGGCTCAAATTAGCCGCCACCCGAGGAACGGCTCCCTCGTGAGCTAGGTCACTTGGGCCCTACTGGTTCATTATTATGAAAGATGAATCTGCTTCAGCATAGTGAAACCTTGTCCTCTAAGAGGTGCTCTCTAAGAACACTGCTTCTTCGCCTGAGGAACTCGGGCCTGAGGATGACAGAAAGTTGATTTTTGTCTTTCTAAAAAAAAAAAAAAAAGTCTAATCACATCTGTCATTTCCATACAGATAGGGTCAGCTGAAGGCCTGGTGAGCCTGAAGTGCCACCTGCTCTGAGGACCAGGCCGCCTGTCTCCTCCCTCTAGAAACGCTCCACCAGGGTGGGGGAGAGGGGGAGAGGGGGAGAGGGGGATGGCATTTGCAGTGCTAGCACACGGGCTGGGATCCAACTCTCCGGAACCCACACGCACAGCCTGTCAGGCTGCATGTGCCTGCAGCCTGAGCTCTGTGTGCAACGGGGGGGCAGACAGGGGAGTGCTGGAGCTTGCTGGCCATTGCCTTAGCTCCAGCTTCACTGACAGACCCTCTCTCAGGGGATAATGTGGACACACATTCCCGTGTGCGTACGCACACACACACACACACACACACACACACACACACACACACACACAGGATGACGCACCTCAGGCAGCTGTCGGTGGTCAAGCAGCTGCTGTGTTTTGCTTGTTTGCCTCAGGTAGCCTTGTACCGCAGTCTAGGCTGGTCTGGCACTCACTGTACCTCAGGCTCATCCTGGGCCTGTGGCGACCTCCTGCCTCCCTCCCCGAGTGCTGGGACCACAGACTCATACTCAGAGTCCACACTGTTTTCCTAAGCTTTCTTACAGACAGTGAGGTCAGTATTTACACCGCTGTGGGGCTCTGCTGAATTGCTGGGGAAAAGGAAGCGCCCAGAGACAATGCCGAGGAGACAGGAGAGGCTGCCGAGAGCGCCCGCCCCGCTGTCCCTGACTTGGCCCCTGTGGAGCGCTTATTCCACAGCTGTGAGGCTAGGTGAGGAGAAATGACACAGGGCAAGCGGCCAGGCCACCTCTGCTTCAGAAGGCTCAATGCCGAGTCTGCTGGTCAGGGGCAACAACAGTTGGGGGACACTGCTCCTCCTGGTCTCCGTGGGCCCCCGGGAAAACGCTTCAGGGCCGGCTCACACAGAACACCCCACAAAGCTGTCCCACCGCTGTGAACCAGACTTGTCCACAGCAGGACAAGCCAGGAAGGACCAAGCATCTCAGGCCCACACTGGAGCTGAGCTTGCTCAGTCAGAAGTCCAGCAGCTGAGGCCTTCAGTTGCTGACAGTGGGATCCTCAGGCACCGCAGAGCAATACAAAACAAGGTGGAAAGCCCACACCCTCACTGAGGTGTGAAATAACTGAGCTCTGCGTCTAAACTGCGCAGGCAGAGAGACTTGAAAACTAGACATGTTGGGATCTCTGCTCCCCAGAAACAAGCAGTCAGGCGCCAACATCAAGCAGTCAGGTGCCAACATCTTCAGAGTTGCCAAGTGTTGCTCCAGAGAGGGGCTGGGGGATGTCTGTCTTTGACAGTCTGGAGGTGTTGTGTGGGAGGTGTTGTGTGGGAGCAAGTTTCACTTCTTCTCTGTGCCTGGGCCCTTGGGGTCTCATCCGGAGACTTCAGTCTGAACTGCTCTTTAAACAGTTCCACACGGGATATGAGCAGGGCCTCAATGAACCTTCCCTGAGGCCCGCCTCCAGTCTCAGAAGAGCTGGGAGGCTCCTGAAAGAGTCATGCAAGCCCATTACCTCCACTGCAAAGGCCTCTCAAAGGTCAGGACTCCAGAGATGGGGCTTGTAACACTTCCTCTGTGATGCCGAAGGTCAGCTGTCAGAAAGACGCCTTCCTCTGTCTGCTCATTCGGTCCCGCTTGTTCTGAAGACAGTTCCCCCTGGCTCCCAGGCAGAGCAGAAGGGCTGAGTTGCCCAGCGAGGACAACAGCATGACTGTCCCAGAGGGGTGACCACTACAAGAGGCCTGACCAGGTCCTGCACCCATCAGCGAAGGTGGCCAGGAAGGCAGTGGCTGTTCCCCTCACTTGCAGAACCCAAAGATCAGGTGTATAGCCAAGACTGGGACACTAGCAGGCAGACACGCCTATAGGAGGGGATGCTCTGGCTCAGTGTCTCAGTGGTCCACAATGGGCTTCGAGAGATGCTCCTGACACCACTGAGCTCTCAAGAGTAGGAGTTGCTCCTGACCTCAGCTGTTGTGCCTGGTTCCGTGTTTGCACACAGTGCTAAGCTAATGAGATACTACTTAAAAGATTGAAAGGCAGAGCCTCAAAATCTTGCCAGCCTGGTGCCGACACGGTTCCACGTGCTCCATGGACCCTGGAGTCCACGTTGTGCGATGGGGAGCGCTATACCATCTGCTTCCAGAGCAGGAAGACAAACACACATTTCCTTTACAGAGAGGAGGAAGGAGAAGGCATGAAATTTACTTACCAGCTTTTCAAAATTGACGAGATTATCCAAGAATGTTTTATTTCCTTCATGAATAAATGTTACATCTGGAGGTAGAAGCAAGATAAACGTGCTATCAGGAAGAGAGCCGGAAACAACAAAGGTGTTTGGAGACAATGCAATTTATACTATTTTCTTAAGCATTTTGGAATTATGCAGCACATTTGACAAGGCAACTTGAAATCAAAGCCGTGTAACCTCTGACCTAAAAGTTTAGAGGCAGCTCAGCCTTCCTGAAGTGTTTTGCAGTTAAAGCGAAGAGTTGATTTTTAACCCGCATGATATAAGCTAATGCTATGTTGTAACTTAATTGGTCCATTATGTTTTTAGGTCAAAAGACTAAGCACAAAACAAATGAATATTCATAAGCAATGTGGACTTACTATTTATACATTTGCCTGCCAGCTAGTGTAAATGGGGCTTGCTTTCATTAAAACAGTTGAGATTCAGACCTCCAAGTTTACATTAAAAGTTTTCATTAAAGAAATTTAAAAGTTTGGTTTCCAAAGTCTGTGTATTAGAAGTGAGGAAAAGGGCAAGATGCTGGGTGAGAGATAACGTCACTGATGAAGATGAAACAGGAGCAGTAGCAGGGTGAAGGATGAAGGTTTGTTTTTTGGAAAAGGGGAAACTTAAATATTGCTTGAGACTCAGTAGACTTAACGTGACCGGGGAACTGGGGTCCGATCCGGCTCTGAGTTCAATGGTAAGGGCCTGAGCCTTACCCACCACCCCAAAGAAGTGGCCAAGGATGCGGAAAGAAAAACGTCTTTCTGAAAGGGTGAGTGCTCAAGAGGTGGAGCTGTGGGAATGAGACACACTGAGCCAGGACCCGAGGCCTGGAGAACCTCTGGCTCACAACAGTGGCTGAGACGGTGCATGAAGGAGCCTTAGCATCCTGCACATGAGCAATGCGGTGCAGAGCCAGGACCCGAGGCCTGGAGAACCTCTGGCTCACAACAGTGGCTGAGACGGTGCATGAAGGAGCCTTAGCATCCTGCACATGAGCAATGCAGTGCAAACTGTCAACCTAAAGGGCATGTATATACCCCTCTGTCATCAACAACAGACCAACTCCCCGAAAACAGAAACACGCATTCAAAACACACAGTCAAAGCTGCTGGACAGGTGCTGCCAAAACCTGCGTGCAAACTGCGAGCTCGGGCTCCTGCTGTGGCCTGCACACACCCTCGGGTGAGCTGTTTTACCTCCGGTGCACAGCAAACATCCCCACCGCGCTCACCTGCATCATCAGAAGCCTGGCCTCACACAGAACTTCAAACCACAGGCTCCTCTTAGTGGCTGGTTGTGACACCCCCTCCCCCGCCCCCTCCACTTCTTGGAAAGAACACTCTCCACCAGCAAGTTTCATGGGCAGCAAAGCTTCTGCCCACCCACAGGACTTCTCACACACCAGTGCACTGTGCCCAGCTGTCCCCGAAACAGACCACTGCTTGTACTTTGGGCTCTGTACGCTAACCTAATCTTGTTGAAGTACTTCATAGTATTACAGAAAATAACACTGGGCTTAGAAACACAGCAACACAAACACACAAGTTTCTAGTGACAACGCTTTGGCACTGCCCAAACACAAGTAAGCGTTCTAGCATTTAAAAACAACTGGGTACTTGAAAAAACGGTTTCATGCAAACATGGAGGTATGAAAGCTGAAGCCACTGTTAAGATGTTAGCTGAAACTCCCATTCTTTTCTGCTGTAGCTAGAAAAAATGCATTTCTAGAAGATGACATTGCATTTCCTAACAGATGGGAAATCATTACCTTTAAGCAGTAAGGGCATGAAAGGGATTTTTGGCGGCTTCATCTTTTTGAATGCATCCCTGTAGGCTTTGTGGTTTAGGGAAGGGTCCTGCGAGCCAAGGCGATCAGAAAGAGAGAGAAAAATCAATGCGTTAGAGAAGCAATTCTCAGTCTGCATCGGCTGCACGATGTGACCATGATTCCATGCACACAGACTCTTCTGAAGAATGAGGTGCCTAAAGCGTTCCTTGGAGAATAAACCCACTGATTAGGGTAGGAGGTCTAGGCAATGCATGAAACCCGGGCTATTGGTTTACAGCACCAGGAGACACCTTTTGATTGCCTAGCACTCCCTTAAATAGGTTACTCGGGCCCAGGCTCCTCTGCAGAATTCCCACCGCGAGCTGATGGCAACATCTTTTAGTACACCGAGGTGGGAAACCCGCCCTCAGCACACAGAGACAATGCCACACTCTACCAACAAGCGACAGACTTGCATATAAGCCTAAGAAACAATCGAAAAGGAGCAAAGATTAATGCATGGCACACTAATTTCTTACCAGATTTATACTAATACTTTCATGTTGTGAAAAGAAAATGCCTGAAAAGTCATGGGGGTTCCACAGGGAGAGGAGGCAGCATTAATGGCTCTCCCGCATACTCCTTACCTACATCTGTCATCTGTCTATATCACTTGTCCAGCTCCGCACCTGCTTACCATCGATCTGTCATTTACTCTTACTTTTAAGTTAAAAATTTTTGAAATTATATCATTTTTCCCTTTCTGTTTCCTCCTTCCAACCCTTCCCTTGTGCCTGTCCTGTTGTTTTCTCTCAGATCCATGGTTTTCTTTTCTTCAGTATCTAGGTACCTATAAAATATCCTATATACGTGTGTGTATTCCTGAACATATAAGCACAGCCTACCCAGCTGCACAAAATTCCCTGACTGCATATGACTTTAGGGCTGAGCACTTGGTACGAGGCAACCAAACGCGTGGCTCTTCCCACGGGGAGCCTGCTTCTGCACTCTCGGGATTCTCCAGTTGCCTGCAGCTCTTTGTCTAGACTTGGGGACCTGCGAGATTTCCCCTTTCCAGGTTAGCATGCTCCTGTATCATTTGTTTTTAAAGACAGAGTCTTATTTCATAGCCCAGGCTGGTCTGGAACTTGCAATCTGCCCTCCCCATCTTCCCAAAGCACTAGGATTCTATCACCATGCCCAGATCAAAACTATTTGTACATGAAACAGTCAGCTTACATCATGAAGAACCTTAAGTTCTCCCTTGAACCCAGAAGGAAATAGCACTAACATTAATTTGAAGTATAAGTCTCCTTTACTTACCGTTAAACTCTCAAGTTCAGAGAAAAGTTTCTTGAACTTGCCAGGAATTTTCTAAAAAAGAAAAAACAAAAGCAAATGCCACAATCAGAAAGGACAGTGGTCCCAGAAGGCAGCTCTGATCTGAGATGTGGCGTGTTTAGATGAGTTCTGCTTACTCACAGACATGTATACCTGTGACATATACCTTTCACGGGTCTCTGCCTTGATTTCACCTCATTACGCAATTCCCATCAACTGAGCACGTTGCTAAAAGTACATGGCAGCTGCATGAGAAAGGACGCTAGCTGGCTGGGTTCTGCACACTGCTGGTTATTTAATAATCACTTAGGCTTCACCTCTGTATCGTATTTCTGATGAACGTGCTCATCTTTCTAATAGTCTGATGGAGTGGGAAATAACAAGCGTGGCCGTTTTTTATACAAATGGCATCTCTGCCTTGGACAGCAGAGGAGAGCTAGAAAAGATGCTGAAAACCTTAGGTGATGCGGCTTGACTTTAGCAGACAGCTTCGCCGAGTCTGAGGGCATCGGAGGCTCACGCAATGCCAGAAGACAGGGAGGCGGGCCTGCTCCATCCTCCCCGATCAAACTTCAGGACCCCCGACACGTGTCAGATGGCCTTTAACATGAATAGGAGAAAACACGGATCCTTTCACCCCACCTTAGTGGCCTGCCGTAGAAAGCCGACCTAACCAAGGCTCCCTGTGAATCCTGTCCCCGTCACACCCCTTTCTGGCTGTGTGTTTAGTGTGAGTCTGCACTCTCACTGGCCTCAGCCTCCAGCAACAGCACATGAAATAAACGTACAAGTGCCCGGGGTTGCTCTTAACAGACTCCAGCTACCAAGAGTAGTGACAAGTTCACGATATCCCACAGAGGTTACGTTTCCAAACTGGATCAAAATAACGATGATAACGTTACAATAACTGAACTTTGAAACTACTTAAGTTTTCAATGTGATAATTTTGACGACTCAGTTCTTCATAGTTAGTACTCTATCTGGAAATGACTTCTCCACAATAAATAAAACATAAAATGCAGGCTTTTGCACACACTTGCAATCTTTCCTTTGAGCCGTATCTTGGTCTGTCCGACATCCCAATGAGTGTCCCCGCGGCACCTCACACTCAATGTGCTTAGATTCACACTGGCCAGAGGTCAGCGAGAGGCAACTGTTTGTGGAAATAAAGTTTCACTGAACACTCTCCTGGCCGTCATTTGTTCATGAACCATGGCTGTTGCACTTCAAAGACAGGGTTAAGTCCTTGCATCAGAGACTGTAAGATCAGGAAGCCTGACAATCTGCAGAGCTCTGATTACTCCTCTCAAACCCCCATCTTTCCTGTATGTGATAACAGGAGCGCTTTCCTTTGACTCTGAGCTGCTGTGCTCACACCTGCTGGGAAGCCCAGCCTCGCTTCCCAGCAGCTTCCTGCCGGGTGGGTGCCTTCTCAGTCTCCTCAGCTGTTCTGATGTGGAAGTGCGGGCACTTGCTTCTCCTGGCCAGCGAGACCTGGTTTAGAAGGTCCCCTAGCACAGCTCTCTGTGGGGCAGGAATGCACTTCGTGGCACCCAGGAGGTAGCCAATATGCAGACTCGGCTTTTTAAATGTAATTCAATTGTTTCTGCAAGTCAATTGTTTCTTTTGAGGTTTAATGCAAATTCCATTCTGTGAAGACCCTCCCTGTCCATTTGTCTTCCTGTGGCTCTAATCAGCATGGCAGATCTTGCCCGTCTCTTTTAATCTTTAATGTTCTTGGCCATCTTGTTTGCTCAACCAGGACAGCCCACCCTTTCATGTCTTTCTTTTGTCGGACCTCCCTGAAGAGCACTGCCCCAACCCCGGTTAGCATAGTGCATCACTGGGCACAGCCCCTGAATGAAAAGGAGAGACACAGGAGAATGGCCCGGTCAGCGAGAGGAGAGGTCAAGGAGACTGCAGCGGACCCCATGGGTCACAAGGCCATAGGAGAGAGGCTGGAGGAGAGAAACAGTGCGTCAACTGGACTAGCCTCCTGCGTCTCAGAACCCAAACCCTTACCGTCCACAGAGGCAGAACTAGAACCTGGGAGCCTCATGCCTTCTGTAAATATAGAAAGTCCTCTTTAAGAAAAGTAAAATGCAAAACTACTTTGGCTGTTTTGAAGAAGATACGTATGCTCACGTGAACATGCCAAGGACCTCAAACAGGAGGCCCCGAAGCTTGGCTTCCGCTCTGTGTGTCCACCCCTCACTCAGGCCAGCACCCTGCTCTCCTCTGCACACTCAGGCCAGGCTGGAGGAGGACCAGCCAGCCCGGAGCTAGAGCTGCCTACCCTACTTTTTAAAAAATACATTTTTCATATACATTAGAGAACCACCCTTCACAGTCCTACTGAAAACACCTTCCGCGAGCGGGGTGTGTCCCTGAAACCATCTAATCCACTTATTGCCCACACAAGCTTCCCCCAGAGTGAGCCCTTTCCCCACACCCAGTGGGCACCTGCTCACCTCCCAGGTCTGCGACAGCCGGCTGACAGACGCGGTGTTGAGGCCCATGACGATTGCAAAGAAGGAGTTTAGGTTCTGCTGGGCCTTGCAGCTGTGAACAGAGGAGAGCAGAGTGCTGAGAGAACACGCCTGCACATGTGGTGGTCACTGATAAGGCCGGCACACCCGCCACTGCCCACTCGAGGCTTGCTCGCCCGGACGGTTTCTAACGCTCAAGAAGGGCTTTCCAGCCCCCAGGTCCTCTCTTCCCGACACTGCAGGGAGGCCTGCACACACAGCCATTTGTGGACATTTATGACATCAGCGATCGCGCTCTGAAACACCTGCTTCTCTGTATCTGCCACAGGTTGCTCCTGCACCTCGCCTCCGCTCTGTCTTCACGCTTTTCCTGTTTCTGGCCAACGGGTCCCTCTCACCTCATACTCATTCTGATAGATCATTCTTTGCTAACAACAAAATGGACATCACACTATCTGTCTGTCTCTATCTTCTATCTATTATCTATCTATAGCATCCATCTATCTATTTATCCTCTATCCATCTCTATCATCTATCTCTATCATCTTTCTTTCTATCATCTACCATCTATCTATCTGAGTCTATGGCATATACTATGGCATAACGCTCCACAGTTCTCATTCATAAAGGTAAGAAAATAAAATGAAAGGCTTTTGTAAGCCCTGTGCTGGGATGGGGACAGTAGAATCAGGAATCCGAGATGGTTACCTTCCACTCCAAGGAGAGCTGAAGGCCAGCCTAGAGGAAAATGAGACCTTGCCTCCAAATGTTGCAATAGATATCTTTGTTGTGAAACTTTTCACTGATTTGTGATTTTTTTCATTACTCTTCCAGCTATTACATGATGGTGCAGAAGCTATAACTGTGAAAAGTGTGCTTGCTTTGGTTTGTTTAGCGGTGTTTGTTTTGAGCCAGATGAGCCCAGGCTGTGTGGAACTTGTTACACAGCTCAGACTGGCCTCAGCTTCCCAGGGCTAGGAAGCGTTCCCACATTCCTGCCAGCTGAAGGCTCTGACACATCCTGTCTTCCAGGGCGCTGACATTTTGGTGGCCCTGGAGTGAACGTGTTCCGGCACAGCTCCAGGCCACCTGTACCTGGACTGCAGGCCCGGAAGAATGGTCTCCTCGTGAAGAGGGGAGCTGCAGAGACCGTGCTCCCCCACACCCAGAGCAGAAGGTATTTGGGGACGTGAGCCCAGTGGCACACCACTGCCAAGCCTGCCAGCTGGGCCCATCTGGCCAGTGTTGGTGCAGCCTTCGCTCCTAGGCCTTGTCTGGGGGCTGGGACAGTGCCGCTCCCTCCTCCAGTCTCCAGCCAGCCCCACCCCACGGGCCTTGCTTGCGATGGTCTGTGTGCACACTGGGGGAAGGCCTCCTGTGTGTGTTACTGCCGAGGCTCTGCTGCCCAGGGCGTGGTGCTGACTCCAGCTCTCTCTGCCACCCTCCCAGCACTCCACGACATCCAGACAAGGCTTGAATTAGCTTCCCCTCGTGAGGGGATGTGCTGAACCACTGGCTCCATGCCGGGCTCGTTTCGCTGCTCATAGGGTCCGAGGTGGAGGACCCTCCAACCCCGAGTCCTCCTAGCGGAGAAGGCCCTAGGGTTATTGTCCACGAGGGGACGCGCGTTAAGGATGGGCTACACACCTGCTGCTTTGGTTTTAACGTGTGCATACCCATACCCGATCACTCACGGCACAGCACGCCATGCAGAGCCACGCTGAGGCTGAAAGCAAACGTGGAGGTAAACGCTTCTTACTTGTCATGAGTGGAAGCCCTTTTACTCATGTCTAGATGATTGTCATCTTTTAGCTCTGACTTCCTCATCTCTTCTGGTTCACATAGCTTCATTTTAGTCATAAACACACACACACCACCTGATTTTGTTTTTTAAAAAAGAAAACCAAATGTAGACACACTTTCTGAACAAGACAAATTGATTCTGGGCAGAAACTAGCTGCCAGCCGGGCCTGGGACACTGTTACCATGGGTCATTCATCCCAAGATAAGAGCGGGCTGTCTGACACTGAGCATTCCAGCCCAGCTTCCATCCTTTGTCTGTGAGAGGAAGTAAAATCCACCCAATCCACAGAGGTGGGGGCGGGATGGTGAGGAGGGGAACGTGAATATGCCAGAGGCAGGGAAGACACTGTGACTGTGGAAATGAGTGTTTTCCTTATGCTCTTCTGTAGTGTGATTAGAGGGAAATTAACCGTATGTTTCAGCTGGCATTCTGTCTCATGGGCTAGGCTGGAGACCAGAAGCACATGGAACTCAGGAGCATGGAGGCAGGTGGAGAAGACACGAGGAAACTTCATTTCCCCCAAGAGACACTCAGTCCCACAGTGGGAAGAAGCTGGGTGGGGCCGCCTTTCTCACTGATGGCCTTTCTCACGGGAACACTGGCAGCCCATTTCTATATCTAACTCACTCTGTAGAAACCTTTGACCACAGAAGCCACCTCCAGGAATCTCAGAGACCGTTTTGGAACAGACTGGCTGGGTTGAGAAACCATGGCAGGGGCAGCGCAGGACACAGACCTGCTTCCTGTGCTCCATCAAATCACAATGGAGCCCATCACAGCGGAGCCCACATGGTGCCTGTTTAGCCTCTTGCTTCAGGGTCTTAGACAACAGCTCAGTCAGTCTGTGTCCTAATGTCAGCCTTCCTAAAGGGTGATGAGCCGACCATTTCTTGGCCACAGACTTTGCAAGGATCCCTCTGCCTCCTCAGTCGTATCTGCACTTGCCAGTCTGTTTCCTACAGCTTCCTTCTCCCCTCCACAGGACGACACCACGGCCACAGCGGCTGCCTGTCCTGCTGCATCCTCAGGCTGCCCTCCACAGAAGAATTCCTACTCAGAACACAGACGGCAACAGGTGCCCCCTTCACCAGCACTTCCTGTCTCCATCCCCACACCTCTGAGATGCTTTGCTTTCCTTAAAGCCAGGCCACACTCTGGTCCCAAGCCAGGTACTTCCTCCTGGTCTAAGATCAGCATGTTGACCTCTAGGAGGCCTGATGCCTGATTCCCACAAGGCCTTATCCAGACCTACAGCAAGGACAGCACTTCCTGAACCAGCCAGGCCAGGCCATGCTTGTCCAGGCCTCCCTCTGCACGAGTACAGGGCTGCAGCATCAGCCAGTTTCAGATCAGGTACCATGCATACAGTGATAGCATGGCTGCCTACACGGAGATGCAGAGGCTGCGTTCCTTGTCCTGCTTCCCTAAAGAAGTCGGTATAAATGAGCTTCCTGCTCAGGACTAAAGTCTCGGCTTCCTGGGAGGAGTACAGAAGTCACCCTGCCCATTTCCATCCTTGTAAGTGACCAGAGCCATCTTCCCCTGGAGGCCACCCACAGGCACGGGAGACAAGGTGTCCCCTCACTGTGAATAACTGCAGTCTAAGGTGGGCTGAGCCTCTCTCTGTCTGCCTTCCTTCTCTCTACTTCCCTCTCTCTACTATGGCTGCCTTCTATACCCTAACAATGGTGCTGAAGCCCCAGGGCGAGAAATGGGAGAAAATGGGAGAAAATGGGCAGTTGTATCCAGCAGAGCCACCTCATTCCCCAGGCAGCCTTCTTTTTTCATGCTGTCTCCCGCCCTTCTCTCTCAGCTTCCCACCTCCCCCTCACAGTCTGCCCTAGGCAGGAGGCCATGCTCCACTCAACCAGAGCACACAGCACACACGTAACACAGGAAAACACTGGGCCCAGGGACCTGTGGCACTAACTCTGAGCTAGGTTTGGAGGCCTGTTGGAACTTTCAGAAGGTCTACCCAGATGAAGGCACCAGAGATCGATGCTGGCTGCGAGACCACTGGTTCAGCCAAAGCTCTGACAGCACTCCATAGGCCCCGTGGCTCCTTTTCCTGGAATTGTGAGGATGGGAACACCCTTATATTCCAGGGCATTTGATCATTTCCAGACACAGTGGACGCTCTACTCAACTGGACATTGACTTCTCTCTGGACCTTGGTCCCGGGGCGCAGCCATGGGTTCCAAATTCTCTGTGCCAAAAGATACTCCTTTGGCCTGTCTGAGGGCTAACTTAGGAAACTGGTGACTCTCCTTTCCCTTTTAATGAAAATCTGGACTCAATAGAAATGGCCACTGCTGGCCCAGATTTGGAACTTTCTGAAAGGACTAGCAGGATGGTCTAGGTGCTCTTCTCCCATAAAAACTCACAGCACTTCGCTTTAATTTTCCTCAGTGCTCTGGCTTACAACCACAGCTGGAGCCAAAATGCCAGCTGGCCAACACCTCTGCTGGCCTGAATCTTGCATCTTTACAGTAACAGTTATTCCTGAGACAGCACAGCACTCTTTTGCCTTCTCTTGTGGCCTGATCTTTTCTGCCTCTCCATGGCTAGAAGGCCTGGCTTTTCCCTTTTAACAGCCAGGCTGTAACAGCATCTCAGGCTGTCACTCCCTGCAGGCACACACAAACCAGTTACAGATATGCAGCTCACTGGGTCTCTCTCACAGAGCGTCCAGTGTCTTTCCATGCTCTTCGCTGGCTCTGAGAAGGCCGGCTTTAGAGTCTGGTTTTGGGTTTCGGCCCGTCGGCCCCAGATCCAAGCATGTTGGTTAAGTTTCCTCCAAGGTCTCTATTCTGTGTCAGGCTGTCTCTGGGAGTATACTTTTAAATTGGAAATGACTTCTTTTTGGGAAATACAACTTACAATTGAATTGTTTCTTGGAACACAGGTTTAGCAATTTGATGTTAACAAAAATATGTTTTCAAAACTAGATATGGAACCAACAAAATGACTCAGCAAGTAAAGGAGCTTGCTACCAAAGCTGAAGACCTGAGTTCAATTCCCAAGGCACACACAAAAGGAGAAAACTGACTCCTGAAAATTGTGCTCTGACCCCACAACATATGCTATGTAGCATGTGCCCATAACAACACAAAATAAATACATACATACACTAGAAGTGGTTTTTTTAAACTTGTTTGAAAAAAAAAACCTAGATATAGTCATTTAAGATAATAACACTAATTTTTAAACTTTCACTTTATAAATTGTTTCTAACCATAAAATTGGTTTTACTTAAGACACTGTTTTTTTCATTACATGATAGCTGGGATTGTTAATATTTCAAAAGAAAATATACAGCGTTCATTACATTTAAAAGCGAGGAATATCACCTAACACTTCCTGCTCAGATTCCTTCCTTGGATGCTGGCTTTGGCCGATTTCTTCTACAAAGTTTGCAGCTGCTTGTTCCTTCTGCAGAGTCTGACATATGAACAGCAGCTTACCCTGCTACCGAACCGAGACATGGTCCAGCCCATGGCACAACTGCGTTCAACTCCTGTTAATCTTGACGTGAAAGTTCTCCTCATGTGACTTGGTCTCTTACTGTTCCCCACAATGTTGTACAGTTCCTGCCCTCTGACCTGTGTTCTGGATCTTGGCCGACTGTTAAGTTTTATCAGGGACCCTCTTCTGAGGAATTCCACCCGCTGTTTCCCTCGCTGCACTTTTGTCAGCCATGAAGCAGGTAAGGAAAAGATTGGCACCCACAATGCCTAACAGCAACTCAAAAGAGCAGTGGAGGGAAACAATGGCCGTCCAACTCATCCTTCTTCTTGTCGCTCTGTTCATCGTTTCCGGGACTCAGAACCAAGAAGCTGGACTGAGCCTTATTTGCATCGTTAAGCTCTGTCCCACCAGCTCAGATCTGCTTAACATCCTTCTGGGCCAGCCTGGCTCCTTGACTGTTGCAGTGCCCCAACATTAAAGGACTAGATCTGACGGCTAGGATGGCACGTGTGCCCTGCTCTGCAAACAGTGCTGCTCCCAAGACCACAAACCCTAACTAGTTGAAATGGGCCTTAAGACACAGGGACCAGACAAAAATTGCCCTGGTTCCCTCCTACTCCGTCTCCTCCTGTTGAACACTCTTTCTTCCTTATTATCTTTACACCTACATTTTCGCCCTGTCTTTTAAATGTCTTAGTGAATGTCACACGGAAACAAAATGCTCCATGCAAACTCTCTCAATAGCTTTCACCCACAGCAGCTGCACTGATCCTGACACGTCTGCAAAGACCATGGAGTGGCCGTGGAGAACTTTGTATGAAAGGGACCTTCATTCCTTTCCCTCCGGGCCAGATTCAGTTCTTCACATGAGTCCTCTGTTTCCCTCTGCTCCCTTTCTCTGACGCTCTGTGGCTCTGGCTACTTCTCCTGGCTCATTTTGGTGCAAAGGTCCTGGCAATGGGTCTAGTCACCGTCACCCTGAATCAGCTCTGCTCACTTTCTTGCACTGACTCGTTCTTTTTCTCCTGCCTGTGCTCCTCCCTCTCCCTCAGCCTTCCCAGGAAATCTCCCAGATTTCCTGGAAACTCTCTGTAAGTAAACCGTCTGCTTCCAGCCCTCTGGTAATCACTGTCCACACTTCTTCAGGACTACAGGATGCTGACAGTTTCCTGGCCCATGGACGTGAAGCGAGATTCAGGCTCCCCCTCTGCTCCATGACCAGAGCACCCCTTTTCAGAGGACCAGAACTGCCCACTCCAACAAAGTCCCTGCTCAGCAGAACACAGCTGTAGCACACATGCCTGAATTACTGTGTCCTCTGAGTTTGAAACAACCGTTTCCTGCTGAGGGACTGTACTTCCCGGCTTCCTGTAAGGGGCTGTATCCCATCTTCCCCTGTAGGCATTTTGGCCACCCCCACACACGGGGGCCAAGACTCCCTCCCCCTTGCCTGTGGACACCACGGTCCTGACTGAGAGGAGAGCAATCCTCTGTTTCTGTACTGCTGTAACAACATAACAACTCTTTGAAGCGTCACATGGCAGTAAACACATGTGCAGAATCTGAAGGGGAGAAGAGAATGTATGCTTTACACACAAACACCACACTGTGCTGGACGAGGACCTGGGCACCCAGGATTATGATGCACGGAAATTCTGAAGCTTGTCCCGAGCAGACATTGATAAACAGCTGTCCTCGAGAACTGTCTGCTGTAAAAACAACCCCCAAAGACAAAGGAGAACAAAGCATGAAGCCTGGGAGACAAAAATCACTGGGGAAGGTTTCCATGTCTGCCACGTGCCTACCCTGGAAAGCTGTGCAGAGAAGACTGTGATTTATAGCATCTGTGCACGTTTATTGCGTGAGTGTGTGCGTGCATGAGTGCATGTCCTCTGTTGTGGAGGCCAGAGGGTTTGTTTTATTTTTTATTTTTATTACTATTTTTTTTTTTTTTTGACAAATGACGTATTTGATTTGTTTTCACATTCTTGAGATAAGGTCTGTTCTGCAGACCAGGCCAGCCTTGAACCCACCTGCCTCTGCTGGAGAGCCCTGCTGTGGAAGGCGCTGTGCCGCGCCGGGGTCCACCTCACTGAGATGAGGCTTCTCCCTGGACCTGCAGCCTGCCCGTTCAGCTGAAATGGGCAGCAGAGAACGCGGGACCCTCCTGCCTCTGCCCCAGGCTGGACTCACACATGTGCGGGCCACACCTGAGCTCTGTATGGTGCTGGCGAGCGGAACTCAGGCGCAGGCTTGCACGGTGCGTCTGCAACCAAGCCACATGCCCCTACTTCATGAGAGGCCCCAGGAAGGCGCTGAAACTTCATTCCCGAGCCTTCCTGAGTCACCCCTAACTGCCCGGTACCGTTTCCCGTTACAGCGATCCTCTACAGACAGGCCAGGCCTTCAGCCCAGTGAAGGACCCCTGTTCAAACAGGACGCTTGCTCTCTACAATAAAGGAAAGCAGCAAACACATGTGTGTGCACGGGCGTCCTGACCCTGCACATGTACGTCAGGACGCCCCGTAGAAGAAACTGCCCACGTTCTTAGAGAACGGTGGCAATCTGGGTACAGCAGAGCTTGCTGACACGTTCAACTCGGCTGAGCCCGGAAGGCATGGGGGATGTGCAGCGTGGCTGAGTGTGGGGTGTACCCCGCCTTTCAAACGACAAGTCTGCGAGAGCGCGTGCTGGAGTGTCACGGAGCCGTGAGCAGGGTCCTAAAGCACGCGGCTTCCTGTGACCCCCCCGCCACACACAGCACTGTCTCTGTTTCCCTCGCCACTGTCGCCGCCGGCTTACAGCACAGCTCAGCGCTGCAGTCTGGCTCTGACATTCACCCTACGATATGAATGCTTCTAATGCAAAGACATCAGTATTAAAAGACAGACACATCTGGCCACGAAACTCAGCATTACGCTTTTGTACCCCAGCCCTTCTGCCACGGTAAGGACCGGTGATGATGATGATGATGATGATGACGATGACAAGAGCCCACGCCACCCCGCGCTCCCGCAAGCAGAGAAGAGGGACCTACTGCGCCGCGATCTTGATGAACTTCTTCACCAGCTGCACGCGCTTGCCCAGCTGGCTGCAGAGCAGGATCTCCGTGGCCACCCACAGCTGGACCTCGTTGCAGCGCTGCAGCAGGAGGCTGAGGTTCACTGCGTGCTCCCCGCTTCCCTGCCTGCTGAACGTGAAGTAGATCAGCTCTTGCTGCAAGAAACGAGTTCAGTTTTAGCTCCAGTTAAGCTGATGCAGGATCCAGCCACTCTCAACCCCTCCCAATCCTTAGAGCAGAAAACACAGCAAACACGGAGCACACAGACACACTTGTCTTCAGTTTTCACAATAATTGTTCAATACTGTTCACTAGAGTCCTTCTATAATAAGGAGGATATCCTGGTTAAGGAAAAATCTCAAACGTTCTCACGTTTAAACCCCTGGAGTTTTAAAAGGAGCCCCTAACTATGGCGCTAACAAGGCCAGCATTCACAGCATGCACCAGAGCCCACAGATAAGGAACTGTCACGTGGGCCCCACTGATAACGCTCGGATCACTGGACCTCGTCCCTCGCTTCTGAGGAGTCTGTGAATGACTAAAGCATCCTCTGAGGTCGGGGCTCACCACGTTGCCCAGGCTGACCTGGAACCTATGGCCTCAGAGCCCAGCCTCAGCCTTCCAAGCAAGGACTGCGGGTGGGCACCACCGCGCCTGTGCGCGGCACCTCAGGCCTTAAAGCTGCTCTCCGAAATTAGCGTTAAGAGGACATTATACGAGCAGAACAGAAAGAAAACGCAGCTTCAGGGCAGAGTGCAAAAGGTCACAAATGCACGCCCAGAGCAGTAACCACTTGGCGTGATCACAGGCGAAGCGCCGAGGAGACTAGATGGAGACTAGATCTTAACCGAGAGCATGTGTCTTAGGAGGAAGGACAGTCAGGGCTGCACGAAAGGCAGGGCCCACCGACTGCCGCTTCTGAAGAGGCAAGCCCTGGGCCTGATCGGGTTCCTCACGTGCTCACCCGGGCCTAGAGTGCGGACATGTTTTAGGGAGAAAGGATGAACCAATTTAACAGATACAGCAGATTGAAGGGCTGATGGGTCCCTGAAAGTCAGCCATGAGGTTCCATCCAGGAGAGGCTGCTGTGGAAAGGTGTGTCTCTCCACAGGAAAGCTGGACGCACGGCACGGGCACAGGCCTCTTTACCTCCCAACCCCTGAGCAGTGCCGCCACCAGGCTGTCAGCAGCACGTTGCTCCCAGCACATAATTTATAAACACTGTAACTCGTCCCCAAGAGAAATGGCCACACACAAACCGTACAATTCATAAGGTAGCATTGGAGGCTTGAAAGCACATTCTAATATTTATGAGCTATTCTTAAGTAGAAGGCTAGCTGTACATGCATATATATGTAAAGAGAAAACCAGAAGTCTCAACACCAAAGGTAAAAATACTCTTCAACCTCATCACAGCATCACGTATTAGTATAAATCCATAACATCACAACCCCACAAGCACACAGTCCCCTGCAGGTACCTGTGGACATAAACCCAGCACGCCCACACCTGGCTCACACCAAGCACACGATTGCACAGGAGCAAAGAAGGCATGCACATATTCTAATCTTCCAGGAGAGGGTAGCCTTTCCGACTCTAATTCCTCCAGCTGGCTTTTGGACCTCACTTTCCCAGCACACAAACATCCTAAAAGTTCAGTTAAGAGGAAAAGTGACATTAGCAACCTCTTCTTTCTGCTCCCCACTTACCTCGTGGATTGAATTGAACAGACTCCAATCAAAACTCATTAATTCCAGGGCAACGTCCCAAGTGTTCATTCCCAAAATCCTTGTCGACCTTTGCTGTGATTCCTCGTTTTCTGCAAAAGGGTTCTAAACCGACAGACAGAATGTTTCAGTTAATTGGCTGCCTATCAGAGGCTCTAGAAACTCAGACTAGAGAAACACACAATGTTTCCCTGCTCTGCGCACCTTCAGTGAGCCATGGCCAATGCAGGAAGCAGCCCTGGAACAGTGGACGTGATGGATGATACCTCACCCAGTCAGCCTCCCCTCACACACACACACTCACACACACACAGCCACTCACACACAGGCACTCACACACAGGCACACACACACACACACACACACACACACACACACACACACAGACACACACACACGAACGCACTCACAGATCTGATTATCAAACAGCCCTGACAGCAGCCTAATGAAAGAGGAAGCCCTGGATCACCATGGCTTCTGGTAAGAATAAACAGTACGTGGAGGTTAGTCTAAAAACAAACAAAAGAAATGTCACAGCACACTTCAACAAAGACAGACGTGGTTTGCACAGTCTCATGGACACACGTTTGCAGATTTTATTACAGTGCCCTTGGAAAGTGAAAAACCCAACAGGAAATAAAAGGAAAGCTACTCTATTTAGGGCCCATGTGGCTAAGACAGTATATGTAACAACTTTCTGTTTTGCTCATGGAGACGGAGCCAATCGCTCTGAGGTCGCCGACAGCACTCCCTGAATCTGTCGTAAGACTGAGATTGCCAACACAGCCGCAAATCTGACATCACACCTGAAGTCTTCAAATAAACCATTCAGTAGTTTCTATGAAGTAACCGGTATTTTCTAGTTAAAACACACATTTTCTCATTTAAGAGTTTGGAGTCAAAGAGTTAGTGAGTTAAAAAGCCACTTTTGATGAGATCTGATAGACTAAGATCAGAAAGGAGAGGAGGACCTCCCCTATCAGTGGACTTGGGGAGTGGCATGCATGCAGAAAGGGGAGGGAGGGTGGGATCGGGAGGGGAGGAGGGAGGGGCTTATGGGGGGATACAAAATGAATAAAGTGTACTTAATAAAAAATTTAAAAAAAGTCAGAAGAATGGGAATTGGCATGGTTAACTTGGTGACGGGGTGCGTTTGCTGCCCATCACCTGAGCCTCCCAGGGTCAGCTCCCAGTTAGAGCATTAAAAACAAACAGCAGCAAACAGGCTTATTCTGCAAACACAAACGCTGTGGATGGATGCCATTTTAGAACCTTAATGTTCATGAAAAGGTTTCTTTAAAAAAACCCAGAAATTAAAACCCTGACCACAGAAGACCCTCACAGACGTCCCCACAGAGCTGACTGCCAAGAGCTGGCCACGCAGCGACCGCCCCTGGGAAGGGGCAGATTCTGAGGTGCTGAGGTGGGAAAGCCAAGGCTGCTCAGCGTCTGTCTGCTGGGACGGGACCAGACAGTGATGCAGAGTTAAAGACAGGGCCTAGGTGGGCATTAATGGCAGAATCACAGGCCACATTTAATTTTTCCTCAGATTTGCCCCGTGAGCACGGTTCTTCTACCATTTGGCTACTTAAGACTGCCCACTGCCCTGGCCCAGCAAGCTCACATGTCCCTATTTCGTGGGACTCCCCTCTCCGTCCTCCTGGGAATGTTTCTCAGCCTCGTGTCCACACGGCTCCCCAAAGAAAGAAGAGACCAAATCAGAGGAGACTCCCATGGGACAGGGAGTCACTTTGTGACAGAAAGGAGTGAGGCTGATCTCAGGGAGGCTAATTCCATAACTCAGGCCTCTGATTTGCAAAAGACATCACAACTTGGCAGCCTACCCATGGTTTCAAGAGGAAATAGCTTAATTTTTTTTCCCATTATAAAGCATGAAAATCCTGAGTGTGACACCCATGTTTCAAGTACAAGCATAAAAGTCCTTACCAAAGTGTCAGCCAGGTCTTTCCGGTACACATACATCCGCCCGGAAGCCTCCAGGGATTTGGAAACAGCCAGGTCATTTGGCTGAAATTCATGCTTTTCTTTATTAAAGAAAAAAAAGGTAATTAGAAACAAGTGAGCCTGTGCGCACTCATCGCGAGTGACACTTGCTGAGGAGCCACATTTAAAAGGGTGGGAGCGGACGTTAAGTGAGTTCGCCTTTGCCCACTTTACCGTGCAGCAGCAGCCTCGGTGTGCTCCTGAGTTAACCGGGCAGCTGACGGCAGACAGCAGGGTCTACCCACAGGCCCCATGTGCACACATGTGAGTCCACATATCAGCAGCCAGCGTAGTGCATGTTTCCACGCCCACATTACTGATTACCTGTGTGTGGTTTTATAGCTTGACTCCATTATAAGCACCCACTTCCTGTCTAACTGGCTGTGTAACAGCCCATTTTACCATCATTTAGTAATCCCTCTGCTGTTGAACATTTCATGGCTTCCTTTTGGGGGCTCACATATATGAATATACATCAAGTGCTAGCACGGGGCCTCTACATCGCAGAGCCTTGACAAATGGCTCTATTATTTCAGCAGCCATAACACATCCTGCTGAAGTCAACACCCTTGCAGATAAGCCCCTGCCTGCTGACCTGCGAGCTCTTAAAGACAGACTTCCCGATATAAAATCACCGGGGGAAACGGAACGTCTGTAAAGCCTTTGATACAAACTTCAAGCCGCTTACCAGTTCTCTTTATAGAAGATAAATCAATATATTTCCTTAAAATTAGATATATAGCTTGAACATTGAGCAACACTTATTATTTTGGGAGGTTTGTTTTCCGTGCCAAGTCAAAAGGCTGACTTTCGGTTAGTTTTGGTTGCTCAGGAGGCAGGGTGTTCTTTAAGACTGTTACTTTGTTTCCTTTTTGCACCGTGTTTGAGCCTAGGTTTCCCTCTGTGCAGGATGACCCCTTTTCACAGATGGATGCTCTCCCCCACCACAACGTGGGGGAGGATAAGGTGACCGTAAAATTCATTCTGTAGTAACATTGCCACTTCTCCTGATGTGGCACTGTAGTTCCTGCTATGAATGGGAAACATATTTTGTTCTAGATAATTCAATCAACTTAAATGCCAAGTTTTGTTTTGAATGTTGCTGGTTAATACAGAACATACAAGCAGTCATATAATTTATTCCCAGTGGGTCAGCATTATAAAGATTAATAATGCTACAGTTGCAGGCTGTTAACACAGGCGACAAATGGTTCCAAACACCTGGGGCCTACAGTCCCTTTCAAGTCAGCTATCAAAGTATCAAAGATCAAAACTAAATTTTAGCCTCTGGATGAAAATGGGTAGGCTGTTATGACTCCACCCTCGGCACAAAATACCCAGAATCCTGCTGAAGGGGCAAGAAGGGTTGGTGCTTCTTTTAGAAAAGCCCAGGGAACACCAACAAATTCCTTAAACTTTTCTCAAAAACAAAAATCAGGTCATGGTGTTTGCATGAAGTGGCAAAACCTTATGTGAGATAGTCTGTAACTAGAGCAATGGCTACAGTGAGCCCCAATTCACACATTATTGTGTGAGGATAGCAAAACACAGGCAAGAAAGTTCTTCACAGACCATCACGCCACTGAAACCACCTGCCAGCCCCCAACCCACTCACTGGGGAAAAAGGATTTCACATTAGCAAACCTGCGGCTAAAACAGGATAAGCTCTTATTTCTAGTGAGGGCAGGTTAAGGACCCAATACAACAGGACACCATGGCCTAAACCAACTCAGAGAATGTGAAATGGCATTTCTCAGTCAGCTGGTAGACATGCTCTAGTGAAGACGACACGTTTAGTTTTCAGATTCTCCTGTGGCTCTGGGCTGGCTTGAGTCTGCTCCCAGGGGGCCGTGGGCATCGGCTGTGCTGCCGAGTTCATGTGAATGCTCTTCTCTCCTTACAATAATTTAGTACTTGGTCATTTAAAATATATAATACCTGTAACATATCTACCTGAAATGCATTATTAAAAATTCAAAGCTTCTGAGCATACACCTCTTCAGTGCTCTTGACTGCTGAGCCGTTTCTCCAGTCCCATCTCTTGTTTCCTAACAAACACACCTCAGAATGCATTTCCTTATGAAGTTCCTGAGCTCTACGTGCTTTGCAGAATTCTGTTTTTATTTCTCAATTGTAATTTGGGATTAGAGGTTTTTCTGGGTATCCTGCCCAGGTGTCCTATGCAGATGATGTCTGTTCTGCCAGTGAGCGCCCTGGGCGATGTTTTGCGAGGCTGTGCAATCAGAGTTCTAGGAAAGGGGGGGCTATGTTTATTACATTTATGAAGAATGGCTTCTCTCATGTGTAAAGACTGACTTGTCAGACTATTTGGCCTGCCTGTGAGCAAGAAGGTAGCAAGAGCAATGCCCTCTGAGTCCATTTCTTCTTGTAGAAGCCTTCCTGAGGGTAAACGGGGATGCTCTGTATCTGCTTCCCTCGCTGGTGCACCCTACTGGCTGAAACCAGGCAATTCAGTATTTCCGTCTAACTGCTGATGCTCAGTGCCTGGCCCCTGGATTAATGAGACATTCAATAAAGCCTGTGAGCCCGGAAGGAAGTCAATGACATTGTGATCTGACAGGCTGCAGTGAGACGCGGTTTGTTCAGGCTCAACAGATCAATAGCATCAGCTTGTAATCTGTGTCCTCTTATTCTAGACAGATACAGCTCCACACAGGACGAGCACGGACTGACAGGTGGAGCCTTTATAAGGCCGGTTCACCACACCAGAGTGCCACCTCCTTAGTGCTGGCTTGCTGTGCAGGGTCCATCTTCAAACAGACACTCAGTATCAAAGTCTCAGCGAGCAAGAAGACCAGATCAGGCTACCCCCCATGGTAAGTTAATCCCTTAACAATTTCTGAAGTAAATTTAAGTATAAAAATGGACGGCTTATCTAATGTAAAAAGTGCAAAAAGCTCTTTAATAGGTACGGCTTCCTATTCAGTTCTGGGGAGGAAGTTCACTCTCCAGTGGTACCTGGGTCCCCACTGTCCTCATGGGAACACCTGGGGCAGGCAACTCACGTCACTACGGTGGCCATCCAGCTGCACGCCCCACAAAACCGCAGCTTCCCTCTGCGCCAGCGTTCAGGCGCAGAAGACAACTTACCTCCGGAGAACGTGATGGCCACCAGCGCCAGGTCCTGTTCGGCACGCTCCAGCTTCTCAGCCACGACCTTCAGGATCTCCTGGGCTGTACTGGACACCTTTGCCCGCACACTGACGTACGACTGCTCTGTTACATACACGCGGCAGAAGACTGCAGCAGGGAAGGAAGAGTTTGCAATCAGAGACCACTTGGGCGGGGCTTTTGGCTGCCTAAGTGTGGAGCATGCGCAGCTAGCTGCACGCAAGAAGGGCTCCACAGGTGTGTGGGCGTCCACCCCGCCGCGTCATGCTTGCGCATGCAGGACGCAGTGGCCACGCAGGAGCAGCTGACTGCAAGGGAGCCCTGGGCACCCGGCATATGCCTGTAACAGACCGTCTGGCCAGAAGGGACGCTGGGAACCCCCCAGACTGTCCTTCTCAACTCCCAAGGCAGCATGTGGAAATGGCTAACACACAATGCCTAGTTTACACTCCGTTTCAGGACCAGCTCAGCGGGCCAGTCAAGGCCTGCACGCTCGCTGTTAGAGCCTCATGACTTTATCTGAAAGGCTGCTGCTCGCCTTGGTTTTGGGGAAGGGCTTTCTCAGTCACTTAAGAGAGAGCCTCTAGCCCCGACCCATGCCAAAGTGCTCATGAGTTTAAAGTGGGGCCTTTTAAAATTTTAACTTCTAGCCTTCCAAAACGCCTTTTTATTGTTCGCAGTGCGACTGACAATTAGGGCATTACCACTGCCAGGACAAACAGCTCCTGGAAAACACTTTCTTCATGATTTGCATACTGGAGACAGTTCTAACAGCAATGGACGTCACAGACATGTTACCTCTCAAAACGGCCTCCCTCAGCTTGCCAGTAAACGCTAGGCTCTGCAGACTAAACACGGCAGTCATGCTCGTATATATCCTGCTCTAGATTTTCTCAGCAATAAGCAGTGTGTGGGGGACTGCAGCTTTTAGAGAAAGTTTATGTGCTACTTAAATGGCATCAGAAAGCTAACCCCAGGGATAATCTTCCAGACATGCAAAGGCAGCAAAGACAGAGTGTGAGCTGCCGCTCCCGACCCCCAAACACTCCCTGCACCTCGCACTTGACAGTCTTTGCTTCGGTTGCTCAAAATGGAGACTTTGACCAAAGATCTAGTCTATAAACTACTAAATAGGGTTGAGTTTATCCTTGCCTAATAAACTGATGAGCAAGAAGAGGCCGGGGGCCTCTCTGAAGCTCAGGTTAGCCAACTCCACAATTAAATTATAAGAGAAATGAACAAGGAAGGTCAGCGATTAGCGAATTAGGAGGTAAGCTAATTGCATTTGCTCTTTCATTTGGGGCAGGTGACGGTTAACATGACACAACAGAAACCCTTCTGCCAGAGGCCTCAGACAAAACGCCGCAGGCCAGAACAAACTAAGACGTTTTATTTACTGCTCAAGAAGCTGAGCGGTGAACGATGAAGGGTTGAAGAAACTTCCTACTGTCTGTCGATTCTCCGCCCACCACTCGCTCAGCTCACCCAGGCAGGACCTTGGCCACCACGAAGGCTCTGCTGTGACGTGTGCTCAGAGAATGGCACGCCAGCACCTCAGGCTGCTGATGGGGGCTCTCCCCTCACCCCGTGCCTGCTGAAGGCCCCTCCCGGGAGTCCTCTCAGGCAAGCAGCACGGAGCGTGCACACTCTGGCTGTGTGACAGCTGACAGCCTCCGGAGTTCTCCAACACCCGCCCTCTCCTCATTCTCCAGAGTTTCTTTTCTAAGCCTCGGGGACTGACTCAGCCAAGGCTCTGCACACTGGCTTTGGTGGCCCTTCTGGTCAGTCCTGGACCAGGGCCCACGGGTCGCTAGATCCAGAACGAAGGGTCAAGGAAGAAAAACCCGAGTTTCCCCACATATCTTGTACCTCTGCTGCAGAACCCAAGGGCTCTGTGTGCACATCCCTGTTTGTACTTCACAAAGGAAGACTACAACTGATCTTTGAGAGGGCACTGCATTGTCTAACAAACTAATGCCTGCACCAAGGGAAAAGAAGGCAGACTATTTGACGTTAACATTCTTGTCAAAGAGGAAGGGCGGCTAGAAATGAGAGTTTCGGGAGGATGTGCTCCTGCCAGAGGGTGGTGATCCTCTTGTCCAGGCCTACTCACTTTCCTCCGTTTCGGCCACAGTCCCTCTGTGCTGCAGCCAGTTCTCCTTCAGACTGAACTGGTGGAAAAGGGCTTTATTCTGTGAAAAGGAGGAAGGAGAACAATGAACAAATGTACACCTTCCCTTTGCAGAGTCCCAGCTGCCAGCAGCATGTTCCAAAGGAGCTAGCCAATTCTTTAAAAATATAAAATCCACCCATCCAAACTTAGGGAAATGAAGCTGAAGTTGCTTTATTTAACAAGTGTAGCTGTGGAGAGTCTGAGCTGTGGTATGGAGACTGGCTGAGGCCAGGGGCACACAGAAAGCCCTTGGTCCATTCGGGGCATGCATGTTGCTATGGGAGACGGCAGAAACTCCCATCGTTCCTTAGGAAGAGACTTTCTCCAGCCCAACATGACCTCTGATACAGCAGTCTCAGCTCCCACCTTTTCCAGGTTGCACAGAACTGTGTGAGGTCCTTTCACACTTCTGCCACTGGTTACTGTGGCTGCCCACACTGAGCACTGCCCTCTCCTGTGTCCCCTTCATCAAGCTCAGGGGACACACAACACACTTCTACCATCTCTCTGTCATGCTCAAAGTGTGCACTTCTTCAGAAGATTCTTGCTTGGATTTGGAAGGTGGGACATAAGCAGCTTAAAATCCAGTTTAAAAATTTTTATCAGTTTCGGAGTAACAGGAAAGTTTTGTGCCTTTAAAATGCACCACAGAATATGCACATTATCAAAAAGTCAAGGTCCATATGTAGATAGGCCTGAAACACAGTGGGGCAGGAGAGTGCAGGCCCCGCTGCTTTCCCCACCTCACCCTGTTAGGCTTGGGCAGCATTCCCTCTAATTACAAGGAAATGCTAGCCCGGCAAGGCAAGCTCTCTGACCCAGACCCCTCCTCCTTACTCCAGAGATAAAACATTTGCCTACCTTCCTCTGCGGAGAATATTCATCAACCGTGCTACAAAGGAAAAGGGGAGATGTAAGAGGCTTACAGAGATTTATTTCGAGGAGGAACACTTTAGAGAGTTTCATTTTTAGAGAAGAGAGAGCGGAACCAGCGGAACCAGCGAGGTAAATCAGCAAGGGCAGGCCAGCTGCCCAGCCTGACAGCCTGAGTTCCAGCCCCAGGATCCACAGGAACGCCTGAGAGATGCAAATGAGGCTGTGCCTCCATCACATCCGCCTGTGGCGCTGTCGTGGCGTTTTTTATTATTGGTGTTTGATGTGGAAGGCCCAGCCCTCTGTGGGGGCCCTCCCTGGGCTGGTGGTCCTGAGCTGTACAGGAATTCGGACCGAGTGAGCCTCGGGAACAAGCCGGGGAGCAGCACCCTTCAGACCTCTACCCTACCTCCTGCCTTGATTTCCCTTCATGATGGGCTGTAATCTTAAGCCAAATAAGATCTCTCCTTCTGAGCTGTTTATCCACAGTGTTTCACAGCTACAGAGAACTAAACGAGAACACCAGGCATATGCACACCCCCAAATAAACACAGGACAAAGAGCGGTGTGTGTCTATGACCCCTGCAGTCGGGAGGCTGGGCAGAGCCAAGCTGCCGGTCTGCCGAGACTGCAGAGCGAGGCCATCTCAAAACAAAGCAAAAGAAAAATACACTATTAACCACCACGTATGCATTGGGCACTGCACTCCAAGCTTCACAAGATCGAGGGAAAAAAGAAGCTGCCTATTGACCGTAGGGCCTTCCAACCACAGAAGGTAAAGCTAGTAGTTGAGAAGAAAACCAGGCTGGTCAGCCCACAGAAACACAGTCTACACACATAGACAGCCTGCACGCTCTCCCTCCCCCGTCCCGTGGGAAGAGCAACCTGTACTAACAAGAAAGGCCTCGTCATGCAGGAACAGGCTCGGGTGAAGCCTGCTCTGGGCTGCCAGGTAACGCAGTGTCCCCCGGTGGCTCTGTGATCCCTGGCCCTCTAGCACCCAACGCCTCTGCAGGCTGTCCCCACCAGGACACCCACCAGCCATCATATCCTCAGACAGTGGCCCTCTCTGCCTTTTGCGAAATGTCACGTGGCCCAAGCCTCATTCCTAAATGGAAAGACATTTCGTAGTCGTAGACCAAAAGCGAGCTGCCCCTTCTGTGTGTGCACCTTGCGGTGTGTGGGGGGACCCACAGCTTGGGCGTGCTAACGCCAAGCCTCACCTCCAGCCCAGCCTCATCTCAACAGTTTTCTCATTTCAGTTCGCTATTTCCATTATAATGGAAAACTGTAATGGAACGCACTAGATCCAGTGATATGCTTAATGTATTTAAGTGTACTAAGCCAGGCATTAAGGTTTCCAACTGTAACAGGCCTGCCTTATAGTATAGAACCACACCCAAGGCAGAGATTAATTGTCACGAAGGATAATTAATTCCTTTCCTTTTCTGATTCATTTGTTAATTTCACATCGATGTTAGGATACTCATTTTTAATATGACGCCAACTGTGACCACCATAGCTTACTGCATTCACTTCTAAGACTGTTCTGTCCTCCCTTGCACCTGATTTCTAAACACCTCTGACAGCTGAGAAGAAGGCTTGCACACGGCCGATTGCTCCTTTAAGACCAACCTATCTGCATCTTTTGTTTGTAATGGCGTCCCCTTTGCTACAGCTAAACCAGGCTTTAAATCTCAGAGCAGTTACTTTAAGGCCTGAACTCACGTTTCCTGAGACAAACACGCTGTTGACGAGGTCTCTAACTCGATGGTGCACTTGTTTCCTGCTACTAAAAAGAAGCAACGACACAGCCAACCCCTGGGTACCCTAGGCAAAGACTGTACCCCAGACCTGAACATGACTCCATGCTTTCAGTTACCAAGGTTAACAGAGTGTCAGTTAAAACCCAGTAAATCCTGGGGCTGCCAGGCTGAAAGATTTAAGAGTGCTACTTAGGGAACCCTTGGACGGGCCAACAGTTACTTGAGACACTGGTTTTTGCCAACCTTTCTTAACTGATAAGGAAGCCTCACGGATCTCACGACATACCGGGCCTAAGAAGTTCTCTGTGACTCCCTGGGACCTAGTTACACGCTACTTCGTAGAGGCTGCAGCCCCAGGTGATAAGCTAAACATGGGACTTAAAGTTAAGGGATAATTTATGGGTTTTATGTACCCAGGTTGTCAGGGCCCAGTCTGCGTTTATCATAGAAAACATGAAGTAGAGACAGAAAAGTCAACGAGCTGATTGGTGTTCTTTTGCTAAGATTTAAAAAAAATAAAATCACACAATTTACTACTAGAAATGGAAATGAAAATCAAGATAAACTTGGGGTCGGCACATTAAAAAGACCAAGTTTATGTATAAGGCGACCCAAAATTCTTATATTTGCTATTGCGTGCACCAGCTGCTATGAGAAAAGCTAAGTACTCACTGACGGCGATGCATTCCAAGTATCTTCTGAAACTCTTTCAGTTCCTTTTCAAGGACTGGGTACTCATACACATCATCCAGCACGTTCCTGTAGATGGTCTGTGAGAGGGGACAGGAAGAGGCGACTCAGTGTCACTGGGACAGTGGCGGCTCAGTGTCTACTCCGTGCAGAGTACGAAGAGGAGAGGGCTGGCCATATAGCTGAGAGCCAACACATGTTTAGTGCGTGTAAAGCCCTGAGCTCAGTCCCTGAGTGGCCAAGAAAAAAGGCTCAGGCGATGGTTATCTCACTCCAGGAAGTAGGGTGGCATCCAGGGCCAGGAAGGAGTTTCATTTCGACACTCAGCCACCTGGAACTGCTCTCAGGCTGCTTTCAAAGATGTCGGTAGACGATGCTAAAGACAGATTTCCTACTTGGCTGCTAGGGATTTCTTGAGTAGTATAGATCTCTAAACAAAATACCTGCATTGATGCTTGGGAGGGAAACATACTAAAATAAGTATGGGTCTGAAACATCACACAAGTTAAGGGTGGTCCATGAGCTTTCAACTGGAGGCCTAAAACGCAGCGGAATGGTCCATTCAATGCCGTTTCCCCCATGACTGGCGGAATCTGTTTAGGGACTTACCGGTTCTAACGCAGACTTCCTGCTAAAACCCCTCTCTACCCTCTCTTTGTGCTGAGTGTACACCCAATAGCCAACAGAATGGCCAAGGGAATCAAACTCTGTCCCAGAGAACTGTCCAAGGTAAGTGAACACATATTGTAAACTACTGACACTTAGACAAACTGGTTTATACAGTGCCTTTCAGATTGTTACTGTTCTCAAAGTCTATTGTCAACTATCTATTATCAAATGCAATTCGCAAACATAGCATGTATTTAAAATTCACATAATGATACTATATATATATATCACATATATATATATATATGTGATTTTTAAATGTTTATCTAAGTGTTATTTGCTGTATAGGCATTGTTAGTTTAATATTATCAGAAATCTAACATTAAATAGCATAAATCTTAAAGTATATTTGGCTTGCCTTTTAATTTTATTTATTTATTTTTAAAATGGATTTATTTATCATGTATACAATGTTGTCTCCATGTAGACCTGCACATCAGAAGAGGGCACCAGATCTCATTATAGATGGTTGTGAGCCACCATGTGGTTGCTGGGAATTGAACTCAGGACCTTTGGAAGAGCAGATAGTGCTCCTAATCTCTGAGCCATCTCTCCAGTGCCTACCTTTTTAATTTAATTTACAATAAAAATTCCCATGACTTAACTAAATCATCCAAAATGGGGGCACATAAAATTTCCACACATAGTTTTTCATAATATATTTAAATTTTGTAATTGAGCTCTCACTTGCATAGAGAATGCCAGGCATCAGAAGTCCAAATGCCTCTCACTCACTCAGCTCACATACGGAAAGCGAATGACTACAGCTGAGGTTTGAAGCAGGTAGCTGAAGAGGGAATCAGCCACTTGGCGTGGAGACGTCTGAGCGCCGGCGTACCTTCAGGAACACTTTGGATTGCTCGTCTTCATGCAGCCAGTCCTTGTACAGGGCGACCCACTGCGACACCAGGTGCAAGACCTTGCGCTTCCGGCACGGGACGTCCGAGCTCTCCTCTTCCCCTTGATACCTCTTGGCAGAATAGGTGCCAGTGGTTAAGGAAGAACACAAAACACGAAAAGGTCCACTTGATCTGGTTTTACAAAATAGGCTAAGGCGACCTTCCGAAGGATTTAGAAGGAGGATCATCACAGGGAGCCAGGGGCCCGCTGATCTTCAGAATTCATATTTTATAAGATCAGTTACTTCCAGAGTTGTTCCAGATGCGCACAGCTGTCTGGAACATGGTTTATGACCTGATTCGAATGCCCACTCCTATGATTTACTTGAAGGAAGGACCAGATAAATGTGCAGACACAGGTTAAAAGGGCTTCTGGTTTTCACCTTCATTAATGTAAATTAAAAACTTAACAGGGGAAGAGCTAACTGCTCCAGCAAAATGTCAGTTCAACAAATGATTAGATATTCATTAAATAAATTACACTGTAGTCACAGAAAATGGGGACTATATTGTGCATATATTGAAATGAACATTCATAGTATGTTGTCGAGAACAAAACCAAAAAAGTAGCAGCATTATCTACTTTGGTTAATAATGCTTACATGACTATTTTAGTAATGTTTAATGAATATTTAATAATGATTAATGAATATTTTAATTACCTAGAAAGAGAGATAGTTAACAGTGGCTTTTCAATGTAGATTTGAGAATATCTGAATCATTTTACCAATTAACATTTCCTGATTTATATACAATGACTACGTATTAACTACATTATTAAAATAACTTCAAAGAAAAAGTTCAAATGACTAGGAATGAGACAAGAGCTCCGCATCGTCTACCTTCTTTTCTTCCTCGAAATGATCTCTGTCTTCCTTCCTTTCTGATTTTCCATTTTCAGAACAGTCTCCTGCAGCTCAGGCCTTCTCACCCTGCCAAGCGCCGGGACTGCGGTGTGCACCGTCCTCCCTCGCGACCCCCGACCGTCCTGATTGTGCTGAACGCTAACCAGACATAGAAAGCTTTGGATTCATCATGGCTGTATGTCTGCTAGTGCTGGGAGCAGCTGCAGAGCAGGAGTTCTACCTCAGACTTCCTAAACATGCGAAACAGAACTCAGCCCCTTCCTCCCCAGCCTGCAAGAATGTGTGGCCACCCTCAAAGTCAACTTGTGCAGTAAAACCAGCTAGACAAACAGACAGACAGACAGACAACAAACAAAGCGGCCACTATAAAGGCCAATTCGATGCTATTTCTGTTCACACGTGTTCTTTTCTTTCTCACCAACGCCTAGTAAGGAAGAAGCTAGCCAGGTGAGACGCCCCAACAGTTTTCTCTCTTTTCTGAAGATCGGAGTTTCCCATTCACGTCATGTTTCCACAGCCACACAGCAGCAGAACAAGGGGACTTCAAGACCACGAGTGTCCAATTATTTCCAATTCATAGTTATTAATATTTATGTTCTTAACCTCGTGTTCCTTGCAGTATATATACCTTTCAGAACACTTGCTGATTAAATTTGCATTTGTGATCTTCTGCTTTTCTATACGAGGGTGTAAGTTCATTTGTATTTTGCTCAGGCTTAATCATCCTGATTTCTAAATGCGGCAGTTGGGGCAGGGAACCCAGTGAGCTGCAGGTTCTTTGTAATGCACTGACTATTAGCTGGCCCGAGCAATGAGCTTAAATAATGTGCTTTACAGAGATAAAAGCTGGGAGCGTTCAATCCTATTACAATGAAAATATCCATATAAAATATCCAGGCACTGTAAAATGGCGCCATCCTATAAACAGTGTTTAAAAATCAACAGAAAAAGGAAACAAGCAAAAACGACTTTGATCACTCTATAGTAGTGGAACATAACAGGTTTTTTCATGAAGAGAAGATTGCTGGCATTTGATACAGATGTCACCGTTTTGATTGTGGTTTATATAATTTCACAGATGGTGAGAAACAAAAACTTATGCAGGATGACTTGCAGTTTAAAATGTTTTCTATTTCATGGACTTTAATAATAAAAAGGTTGCAAAAAGAACTAAAATTTCATATAAAATGTCCTAGTTAAAGACTGATGACATTAATATCCAAGGAGACCCTAGACAGTCCTTGGAAATATTCGCAGGGGCACTAAATTATTAAGTGGTAATAAAAATATTATGATCACAGTTGAAGACAATAGTTTGAAGGCATCTAATTTGTTACAGGGCATAATTCTTGTAGTTAATGTGCGGTAATTGCGTTAAAGTAGGTAAGCATTAAAAATGTAGAAAATTAGCTCACCATTTTTTTCCCAAAACATATCTGAAGGAAAAATTTAAAAACAAAATGATTGTTGATTCCTTACAGCACTCTACTTGGAAACTGTGGAAAAATCTGCAGGTTGTTGAAATTTTCCGAATTTGAGAGTAATGTTTCAAGATCAATTTTATGAGGCAGATTTTAGAACCCATCAGAATACCTAGTTTTGCTTAGTCAGATGCAGTAAAGCACTATTAACAGTTCACACACACAGGTCATCTCTAGTTTATATATACATATACCAAGACAAAACCACTTTTGTTTCTGTGTGTGGCCTATGTTTGTGTATGTGCACACACAGGTAGAGGTCAGAGGTCGGCCATGGGTGACATTCCTTACGCAGCATTTACTGGCCGGGCTGGGACTTCCCGGGAGCCACTCTGAGGCAGCAATGCCTGAGGCTCTGCCCCCACCTTCCTGGTGCCAGGATTACAAGCCTGCCCTCCCCCCCACACACCACATTTAGCATTTTTGCTTTCGCTCTGCAGACTAAACTCAGATCCTGATGCTTTACTGAGCCTTCTCTTAGGCCTGCCTTCTCGGAGTCAGGTGTCTAGGCCCAGACTGTTCCTGAGCTCAGTAAGCACCCTAGCTCAGCCTTTAGTGCTGGGATTATGGCTACATACCAAGTCTGGATTAGTTATACATTTAGTTTAAAGGCTTCGTGGAGTTTTAAGGTGTTTGTTTAGGCGGAAAATGCAGTAGAGTGGGGAGACATGTAACAATTACTCAACAGGAAGAGAATTAAGTAGCTACTCTCATCAGGTTTTAATAAAATCGTTGGCAAAGACCCTTTTCCTAAGCATTCTGTGGGGGTCGAAATGGAGTACCTGGTAGTCGCTTTTATTAAATGCCTAAAGGCAATACAATTAATCAGCAAGATTAATTTATTAGATATTGAATTGCTTTGAGACATCTTCTCTAAGCATGGTAAGGCCAGAAGCCCTGGTGGAGACTTTGTCAGTTTCTGTGGGCTTCTGGCCTTCAATGCAGCATCTCTCTGCTCACTGAGTCAAACTATAAGGCTTTCTCGGCTGGCAATTAACCTCGTCCCGTCTGACGCTAGAGGAAAGTGTGAAGTGACAAAATTCCAGAAAGATGGCAGGTGCCTGCAGAGATGACAGTCGACTTCCCACAGGGAAGAAGAGCTCAGGTGTCTGGGGACACTTTCCCAGGAATACGACAGCGCACACACACACACACGTACAAGCACAGGCTCACACTCACAAGCAAAAGCACATGCTTGTGTGTGTGTGTGTGGGGGGTGTTCTGCACAAGAGACCTGACTACAAATGGTTGATAGTCCTGTAGGAACACTTATGGTGCGCTACTGCCGATCCTCTCAACCTGCTGACTTGGATTTACCCAGAAGGCAATTCTCCCGCCAGCTCCCTAAGCGACCTGGGAAACAGTTACGGAGCAAACATGATATACACAGCACCCTTCACCCACAGGACAGAGTGGAGAGGCAGCAGGGCTCGCATGCTGCTGTCCCCCCTCCTCTGTCTCATTCCACCCTCACCGTGGATATCACATTAAAATTAACACATCCACACCCCACCTCGGGTCGAGTAAATTAACAAAGGCAGTTAGTTCCCGACGAGGGGCATCTGCCTGAGAGGAGGGTGCCGGCACAGCATCCTCACGTTAATGAAGGATATTGTCTGAGCAGCGCCTGGCACAAGTCATCGGTCGTCATGAACACGGTGTACGTGAGGAGGAAGTCGTCCAGGAGCATCGCTGTGAAGGAGAAAACACAAACAACCTGAGCAAAGACAGGAAGAAGGTGCCGGTGACACCGCAGGAGCGCACCAAGCGGTAAAATTCTACCACAGATGCGCTAGCTACCTAGCTACCAAGGAGGAGCTTCGAAACATTCTTCGCACAGAACGCCTCAAACATTGAAGCCTTTTCTTCTAATAAAGTTTTCTCAATACACGATTCTTATCTATCTCATCCTGCTTACGAAGAGACCACTTACATTTGAGAGTAGGTGTTTATGAAAAACCAATGAATAGATAATGAAGCGCCTCAGCCTTCTGAGGCGTACATTCCAGCTGTACAGGGAGCAAAGCCTTCATGCTCTGATGAAGTAAGACTCTCCAAAGCCATTTGCTTTCATTTAGAAGAATAAGGGTAAGAAAACCCACAAGTCCCAAGGCCATTCTGCTTTCCCTTTCAAATGCATCTTTAAGAAGCTGGTTCAATGAAAGATGAAGCACTTTCCTAGTGCCCAGGCACCTTGAATTTGTATCAACACCACAAAAAACAGAAGTCGGGGAAATGATGCAAGATTTTCTTACTATGGTGAAGAAAGGCTTACCTGAATCTAGTAAAAATTGGGAGCAATTGTACCCTAAAAAACAGCATGCTTCTTCCTAATTCCATTTATAATTTCTTATTTTTAGTTAATGTACAAAATAACAGGTTTCACATTTTCATACACACTGATCATTGTACTGTGTTCATTTTGCTCCCCTACGTCCTGTGCCCCCACCCGACAACCCCTAATTTCCTTTTTCTCCCTGTATCTTGCGTGCTCTTTGAACATCTAACACATGATATGGGGCTACAAAACATGCAAACCCTAACCCGCACCATGATTTCCAGCACAACAGAATTCCCACAATAACAGAGATCGTATGTAACACACAAAGTGGCTCCACACAAGTATCTCTGCCCAGTCTCTGCAGCATTCATTTTACAACATGATTGAACTTTCATATCTTTTACATTGTTTTAGCACATTTGTAGCTGTTTTTTAGTAATAAGCTGGACAGAGGTGGTGCAGGCTTTTAACCTCAGCATTCAGGAAGCAGAGGAAGGCGGATCTCTGTGAGTCCAGGACAGCCAGGGCTACACAGAAAAACCTTGTCTTGAAAAACTAAAAACAAAGAACAAAAAACAAAACAGCAATAAACTATGAAGGTAATGAAATTACGTACTATTACAGACTGAAGACTGATAACACTTCCAATTTCATAAATTGACACTTAGCCCTTAAATTAGAAGGTAGATTATTTGACATATGATTAGGACTGTATGATGCTTAGAGGGTGGATTCTTTATGAATGGGATTGGTGAAGTTTTAGGAGTCCTGAGTGCTTGCTTCCTGTGTCTGCTATGTGAGAACCCAGTCGGATGGGCTTTGAACCGGGATCAAGCTCTCCTCAGACGCTCACTCTGCAGAACTGCCCTGATCCCGAGCCTCCCGGCCTTCATAACTATAACAAATAAACAATTGATATAACTCTCTACTGCCCAGCTCTCAGCTCTGTAAAGACTGGACCAAAGAAAAGTTCCGGAACTTAGTCGCACACAACTAATTACATTTGCTCTAAAAAAATGGCCAATACAAACAACAAGGCTGAATCTACAAAAACAAATCCCTTCCAAACAAGATTAACAGCTCTAGTCCTTATCAGCCATAGGGCTGTTTCTAGGTCTGACTTAGCTACAGAATGGCAAGAGTCTGGTCTACATTAGGCAATGATTACCTATCAGTGCACACATACCTGCCTGCAGGGGTCGGAGGAGAGCATCAGACTCTCTACTCTCGGTTTCCACCTTATTTCCCTGAGGCGGGGTCTCTTGCTGAACGTGGAGCCAGAGTGGCAGCCAACAGCACCTATGATCCTCCTGCGTGTGGAGGCTTGAATAAGAACGGCCCCATAGGCTCCTATGTTTAAATGCTTGGTCATCAGGGAGTAGAACTGCTGGAGAAGGATTAGGAGGTGTGGCCCTGTTGGAGGAGGTGTGTCACTGGGGAGGGCTTTGAAGCTTTGAAAGCCCAAGCCAGGCCCAGCGGCTCTCCCTTCATGCCTGTGGATTTGGGTATGGAACCTCAGCTGCTTCTCCAGGACCTGCCCTTCCTCACTCTGCCACGCTTCTGTTATGATGCTAGCGGACTGCGTCTCTGAAAGTGTAAGCCAGCCCCAGTTAAACACTTTCTTTCACAAGAGTTGCCATGGTCATGCGTCTCTTCACAGCAATGGAACAGTGCCTAAGACATGCCCCCTCAGCTCTGGGGTTACAGGCCACGCATGGCTAAGCTTGGCCTTTACATGGGTTCCCAGGATTCTGCATTAAAATCTCAGGCTTGTGTTACCCAAAGGGCCATCTTCCCAGCCAAGGTTTGCCCTTAAATCGCAGGAAGCCATTAAAGCAAACCAAGGTGCTAAGCAATGAAGACTATAGCAGAATTCTTAACAAAGACATTTATAATTTATACAAGGCCCATTTATAATTTATTCAAGCCCCAGCACTGAAGGGAACACTCATAACAGTGTTCTTTGTCAAAACAATTAATCTGACAAGTGGCACCTAGAACTCACCATAAGCTTAGATGTCCAGTGTTCTAAGCTTAGACTTCACGCTGCAACATGGCCGCAAACCACTGGTCTGACTTAACTCCCATAAAAAAAGTTTTCAGACAGGTTTGCACAGGTCCAAGTTAAGTACAGAAAGACAAGCTGTGTGCCTGATTGGACAATATGCAGCCCACATTTACAGAATGCCTGTGGGTCCCGCAGTCTCTTTATAAAATGCAGAAGAAGCCCCAAACCAATTAACATAATGGTCTAAGTTTTTATTCATTCATTTGTCTATTCATTCATTCATTCATTCATTCATCCATCCATCCATTCATTCACTCATTCATTCATTTACTTATTTATTGTATATGAATGCACACCAGAAGAGGGCATCAGATCCCAGAATAGATGGTTGCGAGCCACCATGTGGTTGCTGAGAATTGAACTTAGAAACTCTGGAAGAGCAGACAGTGCTCTTAACTGCTGAGCCATCTGTCTAGTCCATGGCCTAAGTTTTTAATTAGTAATCAGAACGAAACATTTGTGGATATGTACTAGCTTCTATTGCAACTTTTAAAATATTTGAAACTAAAATCAACTGTAAACATGGTGCCTGAAAATCTATGGTAATTTGGAAATGCATTTGAAAGCTATCATTTGGAATACTTGCCCCATACATAGTAAAATCATGCTACGTGACTGATAAAGTTCTTTTAAAGGACTCATTCTTATTTTCTGCGTATGAGTGTTTGGCTGAATGTTTGTGTGTGCATCATGTGCGCCTGGGGCCTGCAGAGGGCAGAAGAAGATGCTAGATTTCCTGGAACTAGAGTTATGGAAGTTGTGAGCCGCCTCGTGAGTTCTGGGAACCAAAGCCAGGTCCCCTGCAAGGGCAGCAGGTGCTCTTAGCCACTTCAGCCTCTTTAAACACATTAATGTCTCTGGTCGGAATAGAAGTTACAGACACAAGGACAATGGAGTGGCCTGTCCCAAGGTCTTCAGTGACCTTACAGGTGGGAGCCACCAATGCCCAGAAAGCTCAGCTGCCTCAGGAGCCTCAAACGTTTAACGCTTAAAGTGCTCGATGTGGCAGAGATATTCTTACACTCAGCTGGATCTAATGAGGGAGGAACTCTTCTCTAATCAAGATTTGCTCCATTAGTAGCTGAGATTAAAAACGAACACCATTAACTTCGACGTAAGCAGCCATTCCATGCTGAACACCTTAATAATGAACGGAGTGACTGTGAGGGTCTGGCTGGATGGTCTCAGCCCACATGGCATTCAATTCAATTACTCAGCTCACATACCACAATATTTTTGTGAAAGGCTTTGACCCAGAAATGCTTATTTCCCGCTAAGCTACAACCATATTTCATATTCAACAGCTTTTGCCTAATTATCTGTCAAGGAAATAGTAATTAAAATAAAACAATGAGGCCACATAAAAACATCTTCAGTCAAAATTCTAATGAACATAATAGTTAAAAATCCCAATAAATAGATCAGATTCCCAATTTTCTTGACTTCAGTTTTTCTTTTTTAAGCTACTATCGTGCTCTGAAAAATTTCCCTCCACATAAAAAGCTTAGTTTTATTCTTTTGTGCAAAGGTTCTAAATGTTATTGAGTGATATGAATAAAAACTATAATCAAAACGGGGCACTTCAGATAAAAGTACATTTTACTTCTATCAGCCGTGCTTCACAGATGCCTGCCCCTCCAGTATTTAGAGATTTTTTTTTTTTAGAGTCACAATTACTGTATGAATGATTCCCCAAAGACTATTAGCCAACAATAGCTACTTAGAAAGACTAGCAAGTCTACCAGCATCCGTATTAAAGCACGGTAATTATCTCTTATAATACATAGTGCTTAATTAATAGTAATCTAAGACTGCAGGCAGAAGAGAGCTTTTGTATTCAGAAAAGCATCTTTCATTTAAACAGATTCAGGGTTGCTTCATACCCCCACGTTCTGATAAGGAGATATATTCCTTTTGGTTTCTAAGCCTGTGAACTCCTACGTATTAGTATACAAAGACACCTATTCTTTAGGATTTGTGTCATTAAATCTGATCCCAAATTCTTGGTTCCTCACTACACTTTTGGGAAAATCCTCTGCCCTCTCCCATTAAAAACAAAAAACAAAACAAAACAAAAACAAGTTTCTGTTAGGGTGCTGGATGAACTCTAGAGCCTCATGGAGTCTAAGCAAGTGCTCTAGGCCCCCAGACCCCCAAACAACATTCTAAAGGCAGAGTCTTGAACCTTGCTGTTGTTTGTAGTTTGAGACAGGGCCTCAGAGAGCCCAGGGCGTCCTGAAGCTCAAGTCACCTACACCATCTCGCGCAGGCGTGCAAGTGGGAAGGCCCAGTGCTCTGCACCGACTCACACTCCTTCACGTCCTGTGAGCACTTTTGTTTCCC